CAGGGGTGACCAGGAAAGCATGATATAACATCTACCATGAACAGCGGCCAAGCCCTCCCCCAACTAACCAACAGGCAAACGATCAGGCCGCAAACCTTGAACACACCCCACGACATGTCCCAACTCTTTTGCAAACTCATCCTTCTCTTTCTTCTGCATCCCACGCTTCCTCTTCCGGTGAACGTTAAGGTCGATCGAGCCAAGATGCTGGCGACCGCGGAACTCTGCACGCTCAAAATCCACAATCATGAGATTGCCGCTATCCGTATCGAAAAGTATGTTTCGTGGCTCCGCGTCGCGGTGAAGGATATCAAATCTGTGCAGTGCCCTGAATGCCTTGCTCACGGCGTCGCCCATGCCAGCCGGGTCGCTACAGTGAGACAGCGGCTGTCCGGCCCAACTGAGGAACAAGAAGCGTACGTAGACACCACTATTATAGTAGTATGGCCGCACCAGATCCGTGCTGCCGAGACATACGGGCACATATGTCCCCTGGATGAGCCGGAGCTGGTCGTATATGTCGTTCTCGTGCTGCAAGTGGCCCACGTCCATGCACTCCATGCCCTTGGCCACGAGCGTGTAGCCGTGAGACGACAGCCGGACCTTGAACAAGGACCCACGGGCTCCCGACCGATGGAGCGGGGTGCAGTCTGCGTCACGGCCCCGGTCCACGGCCAGCTGATCCCGGATGCGTCGAAGGAACTCGGTTCGCTCCAGGTGTATCTTCCCATGAGAATCCGCATTGGGGCAGCTTCTGTCCATGGCTCCACCGTATGCCAACCCTAGAAGGCAGCGCTGCGTGCAGTATCGCCGGCTCTGGATGTCCGGCTTGGATGCCGATCCTGACTGTTGCTGCTTGCCTTGCCGTTTGCCAGAGCCAGCTGCCGTTGCTGTTGCTGCTCTTGTCGGCGCTCTTCTCTGGTTGCCGGTATTCGGGGTTGGGGAAGGTGGATCATCGTCAGCCTCATCTGGCTGTATAGCAGAGTCTGGTGGCTGGCAGCGGGAGCGGGAGCGAGTCTGGATCGGCGTTCTCTTGAACCCCTTCCAGCGCTGCGGCTTGTAGGGGGAGGCACGTGGCTCCTTGGGTTTACGGTCCGATGCGGGGATGGCCTTGAGAACGTCATCATACTCGACCTCCCAGAGACCAAGCTTCTCAGCCTCGTCGTGCCACGCTTCGGGTGGCGGCGTCGCGCGGAGGGCTTGGAGGGTGAAGGCAAAAACTTGTGCCACGGCTGTGCGGTAGAGCCTCATCTCGTCATCCTCCAGCACATCCTGGTTTGGTACGCATACCGAGAAATAGACTGTAGAAGGATCGTCTGGGATATAGAGAAAGACGATCGACTGCCCGGTACATACGTAGCCGTACTGTATGCCCTTGCCGATCATGTAGGAGAAGAGCTGCGTGACGACGGCGGCCGCTAGTCTCCTGGCTGCGAAGCCGAAACCTTCGCCCTCCTTGTTGATTACGTCGTGTTCTGGCTGGATCCCTGAACCAAGGCCAGTGACGACCTCGTCAACACTCAACTTGTGCGGTGCCTTGTACTCGATGGCGAGCACTGGCACATTCTGACCGTCCGACATCCTGCATATACAGTACTGGTCTGCCAGATTGCCCTTTCCCCTCGCTCTGCGGCGGTTCCTTGGCGGTTGCCCAGAAGACGGCCTCGCTGCGGGAGCGCCGTCTCCGGGAGATAGGCCCTCCATATGTGCTGAGATGGTGTCACCGAGGTTTGTGTGGCTCTCAAACGTCACAGTTCCCAGGAGGCCGAGGTGGCTCCGCAGCTGCGGATCTGTGTATGCCTGGTTGACCAACCTTCGGACCGCGTACTCGACAGCTTGATGCTCAAAGTACCGGAGCCCAAGCTCGCTGCTGATAGGCTCAAGGGAGTCCTTCACGTATTCCATCTGGTGCCGTGACGGGAACACAGGGAGGGAGAACAGGTCGTCCGGGATCATGTTCCAGATCTCCTCCTGTAGGGCCGGGAAGTCATCCCAGGGTACGATACGTCGAGGGAAGATTCGGCCGACGGGATAGGTAGTTACCCCTTGCGTGGTCGAGAATGGGTCAGTCACCACTTTCATGGCAAGATGGAGCGAGTGGCAGCTTTCGAGATATTGCTGGAGGGTCTGTTGTTGTGATGTCGCTGCAAGTTCTTCTGCCTCTTCGCGACGACGTTGCTCCTCTTTGCGGCTGCGTTGCTCCTCTTCACGGCGGCGTTGCTCCTCTTTGCGTTGGTGCTCGGCCTCATCGCGTTGACGCTCAGCGTCCTGAAGTCTTCGTCGAAGGTCTTCAATTTCGTCCATGATCTTTGGCGTAAGGTCCGTGAGATAGCGGGGTCGGTTCGGATGGGGTGATGATGTTCAAGTGGCCGACGTACAGCTTCGTATCGTCCAGAACGGTTGGCAGCAATAAAGAGCCAAATGCCGATCACACTCCATCAAGCATACTTAACATGACACTGACCAAAGTCTGTATAATAGTTATTCCGGTCCGGGGCCTGCGCCTCAGGCCTCCAAGCAAACATCGTCAACTCACATAAAACTACACATCACGGCCTCGTAAGGACAGATAGATAGAACAATCAAGATCGGTACAACAGCCGCGGACATTCCTTGAAGGGGTCAAGGCACATCTATGATCACCAGGTATCTGCGCGCGCTACGTGAACGTAAGCAACACTCGCATATGAAGAAAATATGAGCATTCTTTCCACAATCACCCATCACTCCTTCTCGAAGCTTCCATCTGGTCGCGGTGCGCCAATGACTGGCTCCAGCAAAGAAGGTAAGGACGTCGCAGCGTCGCTGGAAAAGGCGAAATCGCCCATGTGCAGAGATCCAATGCTCTCAGCATTAGGGTCGACGACGGCGATGCGTGCCCCCCGCCTGCGCGCCTTGAGAATGTACCCTGCGGCCGGCCAGACCTGGGCCGATGTCCCAACGACGATGAGCATGTCCTATGCGAGTCAAGAGGTTAGAATTGTGAGAGGGAGAGACAGAGAAAGAGATGGGTCATGAATTGGGATTTCGACGACGTACCACGCCATCTCTTGTCAGAAAATCATCTGCCTTGTCAATTACCGTCTGGTCGATGTCTTCGCCAAACCACACAACGCCGGGACGTTGGAGACCAGTCTTGCAGCTCGGGCAATGAGGGATGTCATCTGCCTCGATCTGAGGGATAGGCTGGGCAGGGTCTAGTATGGGATTGACCGTGCCGAGGGGTGCATCTACGGATGCTGAAGCCAGGGCCGGGCAGAACGGGTCATCCCGATTCGATCTCTGGAGCCATGCGCACCGATCATCAGAGCACTTGATGTCAAACAGCGAGCCGTGGAAGGGGAGTAGCTGCGACGGCGGATGTCCAGCACGTTGAGAAAGGTCTTTTTTTTTCACGCGCTTCTTAGCCGTATTGTATTAAGAAAAAATCTGCCGAAAGACGGTTGAGCAGCGTACGTACATACCATCTACATTCTGCGTCACACACAAGAAGCCTGGCTCACCCATGGTGCGCGCCAGGGCGGCCAGGGCGCGATGAGCATCGTTCGGCTGCGCTCGCAGAGCGAGGTGTCGACGGTAGGCGTAGAAGAGCCAGACGAGACCAGGCTCGCTGCGAAAGGCGGCCGTCGTGGCGAGCTGGGTTGCGTCTCGTCTTCGCCAGAAGCCGTCGGCGCCACGGAAGGTGGGAAGGCCCGAGGAGGCGGAGAGTCCGGCCCCGCAGAGAGCCATGATGCGACGGGAGGAGCGGAGGGCGGCGTGGAAAGCTTCAATGTCGTTGTGGGCGGGCATTATCTGTTCTCTCTCCTTCTTTTCAATCATTCTCTTGTATGTTTATCATCTTGTGTCTGATGAGGATGGCAGAGTGGAATTGATGATGCTACGAGATCAATGGTTGATATGTGCTTACGAATTGCGCCCGTGAGGGGCTTTCCCTCTCTTATGCTAACTTCGAATCATAATAGCCTGTCAAAGTTCACAGGACGGGTGTATGCTGGAGGCAACCATTCTGCTGGACAGAGCTTCAACCTTGGGTCACCATATGCGGACTTTCGGCGGTCGCGAGCGCCAGATCCTCACAACCTGATGGCAGCAGACCACAATAACCCGTGATGATCATTCTGGTGTACGATGCATCCGGGTACAGGTATCATGGAAGAAGACGCGATAGTTGCACGGTTCGATATCCCAACAGCCAGATCAGCATGGACGCGACCTGCATCTGACTCCTGGGTATGCCTACCCTGTAACCAACCACCCATTTTCTCCGCACACGCCATAATCTGTGCCACTTCCCAACGGCAATTCATCGAAAGATGTGATTCGTCTTGTCCGCAATCAACCGGGCCATTATGCGCTGGTTGCTTGACTGACGACAGGCCATTGTCTGCTACTCACTGTACGTCTACGCGTGCGGGGATACCTGTGCTACAACATTGTTGCCGTGCCGATGCGTGCGTGGGGCGCACTTCCACGGCTACATCATTCGATCACTCTCTATTACAGGTAAGCCTGAGGAATGATGGTTGAATTCTTTCCATCTCTCTCAGCAGATTCCTCTCCTTTCTTTACATCTGCCTCCTAGCAGTGGGCAACTACGCATCATATTGCTGATAGGAGGTGCATCTGATGAAGTCGTCCTGTGCTACGAATCATGACCAGTCTAATCTATGCTGATGCTGCGATCCTGAGCGTGGCACTGGAATGCGGCTGTCTCAGCCGGCTCCCCTACAGGTGTTCGGAGCATCTGTTAACGGAGTAACCAGAGCAATGGCGTCAACGGCGTCAAATGGCGTCTAGAAGATGGATACCAGTTACTGAGAGGCCGAAAAGAAAAGACGACGACGACGATGTGATTCGTTAACGCGGCATGACGACCAAAGAGTGAGGCTTAGACATCTAAACTGAGCATTTTTCCCTCCACCCCTCCCTCTTGGCGCAACGTGGATATAGATAGACACGCGATGGCGTCGGGGCTGGTTGGACAAGCGTGTGCTATATTTGGGGGAGAAGAGGAAGAAGAAGAGGGGAAAAGATGAAGAGTCCATCGCAGGACTGCTTCCAGGTATCACTGACCGCGCCCCGAGGAACCCGCGCGCCCGTGTAGTATTGGCCTTGTATCGCTTCTTGTAAATGCAGCTGTTAACAATAGTTGTAATCTGTACTCCGTACCCCGTACTCGTCGTACTCTGCAGCAGTGGACCGTGGTACACGTGAGGACGGGGGACCTAGTAATCAATTAATACTGTCCCTGCACGGAGGAGGCCGTATTATTACTTACTCGTACTGCTGGGGGATCTCATCCCATCTCTTCCCATCTCTACGGCTTCTCACATGACGGGCCATCCTTGAGGGCTTTTCTTTTTTGTCGTCTTTCTTCAAAATCTCCGTATGCGGATCCTACAGGTAGCCAACCGCGTTACACCAGACTCACCCAATTCAGTCAAGGGGATTTCGAAAGAGAGGAAAGATGCTCATACTCCCGTACGCCTGTACTCCCGTACATGTATTGGTGCCTGCCAAGCAAGAACGGCAATGCTGGCTTTATGGTCACAAGGGAGAGTGAGAGAGCGACGAATGTCTGTGTTCTGGACCCCGGCTGGCTAGGACTTGGGAGCCTCCCCTCCCCCGAGGCCAAGGCCGAGTCATTCCGCACAGCCCCACGCAATACGAAGTGCAGGCTACGACGTTGCGCCGTTGTCAGAGTTCCTCTCTCTGCCAAGGGAATAGTGGGGGTAATGCACCTCTTTGCGACGACTTTTCCAGCCCTGATTATTGTTAAGTGACATGTAAAGCTAAATGAGATGTCCTGGGAGAAATGGGAAGAGAAGTCGATGCTGTCAATGCAGAACTGAAATGCCTCGTAGATAGTAAGCCCTACGCATGGAGTAGTCATATGGGTTCGTAGATCCTTCGAGTGTACAGATTAGTGATTTGAGTACGATGATGATTGTCCCGTCAGACGTTTTACCGAGAGACAAAGTGTTGTCATCGCTCTTCTTTTTTGCTTCTTCCTTGTTTCTCTATTCCCCTCCCTCGCCACCTGTCGGTGTTCTCATTCGTCTTCAACAAGTTACAGAGATAACAAGGAAAAGGAAGCCAACGGTGGATTTTTGGTTTTGATTTTCACTGGGTCCGTTCGACCTTCTCTTGATGCGTAGAAGGGAAAGAAGCAGTGACGATCCTCGTGTTCTGACCGTGTGCTCTCTGGCTGTCACCCTGCCGTGACCGAGCTTCATATTTACAGGCCGTTCGTTCCTTTGACAGATTACGACACACAAGCATCGCTAACAGAGGACCTCGAAAAGAGAAGCAGGAAAAAAAAGAAGGAGACAAAAAGCCCCTGGCCGAATTTACGAGCGTTCTAAAAAAGTGAGAGCATCATAGACTTGCAAGTACGTCAATACGAACATGCGTGAAAAAGAAAGGGCTGCCAGAAAAGTAATACACTGTGAGAGAGGTACGGAGTGCTCGTACGCGACGGGATAACGGAACTCGGAAACCCCTCTGAGGGGGAGGAGAAAGGGAGTGGGCCAGGTTTTGACCGGGGGGAGGGTTTAGAAAAGGCGGCACGAGTGCGAGTAACGATGCCAGTAGTCTTAGGTCTCCAATCTGTCCTTGTAGATGAATTTCGGCAGTCATCAGGTACGAGTATTCAGAGGAGAAGTTGCTTGGCAAGAGAGAGAGGGTCATTTCAGGGTTGGCAGGGCCAAGCCCAACTAGCAACTCGTATTATGATTAATCCTCACGCTGGCGAGGACGCCTCTCTTCTCATGATGATTCTCTGGTGGTGTCTTCCTCCTCCTCCTCCTCCTCCTCCTCTTCTCCCTCCCACTCCTCCTTCTTCTTTTTTATGGGCGGCGATAGCGGACTAGGGCCAGGGGTACGTATCCGTACCTGCACTTGGTACCGCCGACGCCAAGGAACGGCACCAGGGGTTTGTGGTCCCTTTTCTGCTCAGGGGTGGAGAAGGGTTTTAGTAAGCCATGGCCCCAAGAGAGCCAACGAGGACCGAGAGCATCACGGTCGCGTCTGGGGGATGCGACAGGAAGGAAGGGCACTCCTCAATGCAAAGGGTTGGCACTGGTCAAGGAGGCTTACCGTCTGGAGGAGCATGTATCAAGTACTAGTAGTGTCAAGTCGTACGGAGTTGACTCTGCGGAGTCTTATCGAAGCTCCTGGGGGTCAAGCACATCATTACCGACTTTGTCCCCAGTGCGTATGCTGAGTTGGCAATGGCCTGTTCTGGGTTAATTGGAAAGGGAAAATCCCAATGTCCACGATGACACTACCCGTGTACTCGTACAGAGTACTAGTTGCTAGCATTACTACGGAATACTACCTCTATTGCTACCACTACTGCTACTACTGCGGAGTGCACAGCTACAACATGATAGACACCGCGACGTGATTGTACGAGTGAAGACGATGAGCCTGCCAACTGGGCTGCAAAATGAATTGCTCGGCATGAATGATGCGATAATCTACATGTACGCTATTGCTTACGGGCGCGATAGATGATAATATGACAATCTTGGCCCGAGCAATATTACATATACTGCTCGTACTCCGTGCTGTGCCCATTGTGGTACAGAGCCGGGGTCATGATACGATTTGATGGGACCGTGTCCTAGAGGAGTATCTATTGTGGGGGGGGGGGGGGGGTTTGCTAGTCGATACAGTGTACGAGTATCCGTAGTCTACTTGGTATGATGCCATAGACGCAATAGCTCGGGATGTCATGTAAGAGACCATGTCAGTTATCCATCTATACATGATAGTACGATCTTATTTTTTCTCTTCTTCCCTTTCTTTCCTTTCATCATGGACGTTATCTCGTTGATCGACAGTGTTTGACCAGATCAATCTCTTCAACACGAGTTGCTTGGCAGAGACAGTCTAGGGTTCATGGTCTTTCTATACTCGTATACGAACAGTTAAAAAAAGAGAGACTACGCTACGAGTGCTCTGTAAATAAATGTACGAGTAATACGGATTACATGCAGGCCAAAGATACCTGGGCAAAAGAGACCTGGGCAAAAGATACTGCGCCAAGAGGCCAAGGAAACCCAAAACTTCCTCCAAGACCACACCAGGACCCAAAAATGCTCGTACGTATTAATAGACGTCAACTAATACGGAGTAGACGGATATCGCGGACATCCAGACCAGGGAGAGAAAATGAGAGACGACGAATTCAACTTTGTACCGGGTGGGGGTTTTGTTGGTTAATATGTGTGTACGAATATTTCTGACCTTCTCGTTCTTTTTTGTTCTTTCGCCTTGGCATGTCTCTAGGTATCATGTCTCACCAATTGCCAAAGGAAGGAACAATGATGAGCAAAAAGCGGGCAAGTACGTACCTGAATTCCGTAAAAAAAAAAAAAAAAAAGGCACTCCATCAATAGCGAGAGAGAGAGAGAGTGTGTGTGTGTGTGTGGGCAAAAAGAACAGCAAGAGCGAGGTCCATGGTGCTTTCCGTCTGTCTGCGTTCTGGCCTCTCCATCACTCAGCCTACAAGTACGAGGAAGGAGGACGAGTAGTACCTAAGCGAAGCCTAAGCCTCTCCTCTCTCTCCCTCGGTCCCAGGCCCCCACCCCAGGTCTCGAGGTCCCCAAAAAAAACATGCCAGGGGGTTGCTAGGGGACAGAAAAAATCATGGTATCCACACAACGTCACCATCGGATCCTATTTGGGAACCTGGAGTGGCGGATAGGGCCAATGATTGATTGGCCTTGTGCTGATCCTCTGGGGCCCTTGCACTCTCGGGGGGGGGGGGGGGGGGGGGGGCGTGCGTGTGTGCGCGTGTGTTTGACTCTGTCATTGTTCCCTTTGGCTGCCTCTGAATCTGGTACCTGGCGTTGATGCTAATTGGGGATGGCCGTCGCCAGCCGCTTGGCACCTGACAGACAGTTGTCAGCAGTTGAACAACGGCCGGCAGACAGACAGAGGAGACAGATACGCACACCCCCCTCTCGAGTTGGCCCCCCCCCTCCTTCCTCACAGAGAGCTACACACGCCCTTACCACCTGCCCAATCCCTTGGCCTAGAAAGAGCTGGATCCACCGCCCGTTGGCAGTGCAAGGGCCGCAGGCATATGGAGACAAGAGAATGATAAGACATGCCCTCGCCTCCCGTTCCCCCAGTCAACCGCTCTCATAGCATCTCTCTTTATTCCTCTTCCGTCTTCTTCACGTCTTGTCAGTCGCTACAAGTACAAACCTGGCTGCTCTGCTCCAACTCACTCGCCTTGTCTGTTTTCCTCATCTTCACTCTTCTCTTTTTTGTTGGTGGTTTGCCGATTCCTCACTCGTACCACACGCACACGCACACACTCTCGCTCTGACAAGTGCTTGTTGCATTTTCCGCGAACCACGTCGAATCTCCTGTACTCTTCCATCTGAATTAAACTAGACGAACACACGCACACACACACAGCTTCACAATGCTCAGCCGTGGCCTCACTTCGGTCGCTGTGGCCCTCGCCGCCTCTGGCCTGGTCGCTGCCCAGACCTTTACGGACTGCAACCCCTTGGAGAAGAGTATGTGCCCCTCCCACCCCCGCTCCCTCATGGTTTGGAAGGCAAGTCAAATAAATGGTGATATCGAGACATACTGACCCGACTTAGCTTGCGACCCTGACCCTGCTCTGGGCAACCAGAAGGGCGAGTGCGACTGGACCGACGGTGATTGTGATCTCTTCGAGGCCCTGCCCGGCACCACCATCTCGTACGATGACAAGGGCGCCCTCTTCTCCATCTCCAAGGAGTCCGAGGCCCCGACCATCGCCACCCACAAGCGCATCTTCTTCGGCAAGGTCGAGGTCGAGATGCAGGCCGCTCAAGGCCAGGGCATCATCACCTCGGTCGTCCTCGAGTCCAAGGATCTGGACGAGATTGACTGGGAGTGGATCGGTGGAGACAACACCAAGGTCCAGTCCAACTACTACGGCAAGGGCGACACCACCACCTACGACCGCGTCGTGTACCACGACATCTCGGCCCCCCTGACCTCTGTTCACAAGTACACGGTTGAGTGGACCTCGAGCGCCATCACCTGGTCCGTCGACGACAACGTCCTCCGTACCCTCAAATACGCCGACGCCCAGGGCGGAAGCCGCTACCCCCAGACCCCCATGGAGGTCAAGCTTGGTACCTGGGTCGGCGGTGGCAAGAACACCAACGAGGGCACCGTCGAATGGGCCGGTGGCTACACCGACTTCTCCGAGGCTCCCTTCAATGCCTGGTACAAGTCCATCTCGATCACCGATTACGCCGGTGGTGACTCGGCCACCAAGGATTCGATCAAGGAGTACGTCTGGTCTGACAAGACTGGTTCCTTCGAGAGCATCAAGGTCATCAAGGGCACCAGCACCGACGACGACGGCGATGACGATGACAACGACGACGACAACGACGACACCACTACCTCGTCTGGCAAGGCCACGGCCACCTCCAGCAGCAACTCCTCCAAGACGTCGGACTCGTCGGACGCCACCTCGACCAGCGATGGCGACGACAAGTCGACGACTGCTTCCAGCTCTGCTTCCACCACTGTTGCCACCCCCAGCGCCTCGTCTGGCAGCTCTGACTCCGGCAACAGCACCACCACCCCGACCTCGACGTCTTCCGACTCATCTGCTACCGGCTCTGACGTCCCCGAGGCCGCCGCCGCTGGCCTATTTGCCTCTCTCGGCCGCGTCGCTCTCGCCGGTGTCGCTGCTGTCGTCATTGCTCAGGCCATCTAAGCGTGTTCCGTCTCTGACCTTTTGATTTTTGATCGCATCTCTTTCTTTTTATTCTGAATGTACACGTTTTTTTCTTCTCTTCTTCTTTTACACAGTTACGAAAGCAAATATGTAGTTAGTATGACATACCCAAGGGCCATGATGGAAGGACGCCGAGCAAGAGGAGGAGACCGAGGATGATAGGCAGCCTCGACAGCGAGGATATTGAACGAGCACAAGCCAAAAAAAAGACGGTCTAATTTACATAGGATTTGACTAGTCAATTTCAAGCTGATCGCTAACGTATACAGAGCAGCGGGACTGGCCTGGTACGAGCGGATGGCAGCATTTTGAGACTCCGAGACTTCGAGGTGCAATGGTGAGGGGAGGTCTGCTGTTACTGTTTTCTTTTTCGTTTTTTTTTTATAACTACTTTTGTTTACCCCCCCTCAACGCCGCCCCCCCCCCCCCCCCTCTGCGTTTTACCCTGCATCGGTGTTCAGCCAGCGTGTTACTAGATGTCGCATTATGTACTAGGAGGTAGCTTACAACTTTTAATAAGGAATGACAACTGTTTAGAGTGTTTTTGTCTTTTTTGCATTTTTGCCGATATTACTTTGTACTTGATGCTCGAAGATGCTTTCAGGCTTTTAGTTGCGTATAGACTAGAATACTGAATACCCCTCCGGCCATGCCACGTTCCGACAATGCTTGTAGCTCGACTGGACGAGTCTGTTAAGCCGTCGGACGATGCAAAGCCAAGGAAAAAGGTTAATTCATCTCCCCCCCCCTCTGTCTCTGACAAGCTGATGCTAAGGGATTTGGCTGTTGGTGGCTGGCCAAGGGCGCTTTTGTTCCTGCATAATTGTCAACGGTTGGGTGCAGCAGTCACACACTTCTTTTTCGGCCAGTGCCTAATTCGTACAAGGGGCGTACCGGCTGTACATATACAGGAACCAACGCCGGTGAATGAGACTCGTGAGAGGATAGAGACAGAGAGAAAAAGGGGGGGGGGGGGCAGCCAAAGGTTTTCTTCTTCTATTGTATCAGCTCAGTGAATGAAACGCATGATAGAAGAAACGAATGAAACGCATAAGAGAAAAAAAACAAGAAAAAATGTGTTGGGCACTAGAGGAGGCACAGAAGAGGTAGAAAATGGTGATGGTGATGATGATGATGATGATGATCCTCTTATCTAGCTAGCTGGAGCACATGGATATGAGATGAAGAGAACAAGGGCTGAGCCACGTGAACCACGTGATCCCATTGGCCTCAGGCCATAGACAAAATAGTTTGTCCAGGAGAAGAGAGAAAAGAGGGTAAATGGCATTGCTTTTTCCAAGCTGAGATGGGGAAAAAAAAACCAAACTTGGATATAATACTCGTAGTCCGGAACGAAGGGGGATGGGATTGAGCTACTAGTATTAGTCTAGAGGATTGAATAAAAGGAATGTGCCGTATGTGTATGTATGGTGGCTGTTTCAAGAAAAGGTGCATGCGTAATGCGACCTCCGACAGACCGATACAGCCATACAGGTAGAGAATACTGAGCGTGTGTGCTTGCTGACGAGTGGGTTTCATGATGAAGCGCCAAGCGTTTCGGGACTCAACCGCTTAACTTCATCCGAGCTGAGGGGCAGACATGACGAGCATCCGACGAGCACTGAAGAGGGCATTTTTTCTCAACTGTGCGGGCATTACTACTTTACGGAATATCCCCCCCCCTTCTTTCTCATTGGGTGTACATGACCGAGACTGTGTGTAATGATTAAACCTTTCCGAGCAATGCCTTGTAGTAGTAGTAGTAGTAGTAGGAGGAGGAGGAGGAGGAGGAGGGGACTACCGATGGGCTGAATGGAGTGAAGAGTGAAGAGTCAAGTCTCGACAGCCCACGGGATGCATGCATTGACCTCGTACGACAGAGGAGTTGTGCCACACGTGCTGGTCAAGGGTGGACTGGGCGTGAGCATGAACTGCGTGGACGTGCACACGCTTCAATCGAGCGCACTGCTGCTCTCTTGGGCGTCCATGGTGCGACTCGGTCGAGAATTGGCGTAGGTAGGGATGAGGTCACGCAGAGACCCTTGCCCCTTGCTGCGAATGGCATGAGCAACGTACATGGACGAAGACGAACCATCATCTCCTGACATCGACATAAAAATAATAAGAATAATACTATTGATACTGTACAGCATAAACAGGACATTTGTTCTCATTCACTGTCGATGGACAAGTCTGGATCCCCGGCCCTGACGAACGACCGGTTTTCGGACGTTTCGTTTACACAATTTGGGCTTTGCTTGTGAACAAATTTGGGAAACCTCTTCCCCCCCCCCCCTCCCCTTTTATGGTTTCTCCTATATTGAGGAATACGTCGACGGCGACGCAATCCCGTGTGAGCCTATTCCGAATATATTTATTCATTTATGATATTATTTATGGGATTCCCGTTTTGAGTATAAAAAAAAACTTAATTTGTATTACGTTTCAGGGGGAGGAAAAAAACAACACCAAACGCTGCGCGGCTGCGCCAGAATGTCGAAACTAATATGGAAACGCCGGAGCAATTCGTCTACACCAACAACCAGAAAACACCATAACTCAAACGAGAGCCATCTTGGCACCCATCAATTCTGTCCGGCCACAGGTCAAGACAGCTCAGCACATCTGCGAGTACAGGCGGCTCCCACGCCTTGAACTAGCACGTCGTATGATGAACGCGTGTGCTTTTCAGGTAAGAACCCCGGTCCGTGTGGAGATCTTCCATCTATTCGGCACACAGACGGGCGGACGGTGGGGGTTGCGATTCGGAACCGAGGCAATTTCGTCAGGCTTCACTCCTTTTTCTCTGCTTCTTCTTGTTTCCTCCAAGGGGGTTGATGATGCCGTCTATGATGTGTATATAAAGGCCACGGCCGACCACGAATCTAAACACTCTTCTTCTTTCCCTCTGCAAGACAGGCTCTTGAATCAACAGTTGACCATCGCTTCTTTCTTATAACATCTTTTTTACATTCACTTACCGGCCGGAACCGCTATTTCCATTCACCTTCTTTCCAACACCTTCTTTCTCTGCTTCGTTAAAAGAGCTACAAGAAACAGCCTCTCTCTCTCTCTCTCTCTCTCAACTCAAGAAAAAATGAAGTTCTCTCAGATCCTCGTTCTCGCCGGCGTCGCCATGGCTTCTCCTACCCCCACCATCAACAAGGTGGACAAGCGCACGCTGGAGAAGCGGGCGAGCATCACCGAGGCCTGCGACATCGGCTACGCTTCCAGCAACGGCGGCACGACTGGCGGAGCGGGCGGCACGACCACCACCGTGACCGACTTTGCCTCCTTCAGCGAGGCGGCCCAGGCCGACGGCCCCAAGGTCATCGTCGTGTCTGGCGACATCTCGGACTCTGGCGAGATCGAGCCGACGTCCGACACGACCATTGTCGGTGCTTCGGGCGGCGCGTCGCTGACGGGCATCGCCATCAACATCCGCAAGGTCGACAACGTCATCGTGCGCAACCTCAAGATCGGGCTCGTTCCCGCCGATGTCGGTGACTGCATCGGCATCGAGACCTCGACGCACGTCTGGGTCGACCACTGCGACCTGTCGGGTGACCTGACCGCCGGCAAGGACGACTACGACGGCCTGTTCGACGTCAAGCGCGGCTCCGACTACATCACCGTCTCCAACACCTACTTCCACGACGCCTGGAAGGCCTCCCTCATCGGCCACTCCGACTCCAACGCCGACCAGGACACCGGCCACCTCACCATCACCTACGCCAACAACCACTGGGAGAACATCAACTCGCGCGCTCCCAGCGTCCGCTTCGGCACCGTCCACATCTTCAACAACTACTACGACACCATCGAGAGCTCCGCCGTCAACACCCGCATGGCCGCCCAGGTCCTGGTCGAGTCCACCCAGTTCGTCAACACCGAGACCGCCATCGTCGCCGAGTACTCCGACGACACCGGCTTCGCCAACGTCAACGACGTCGACCTCGGCGACGGCACCAACACCGCCCCCACCGGTGACCTGTCTTCTTCCAGCCTGCCTTACACCTACACCCTCGTCGGTAGCGCCAAGGTCGCCAGCGCCGTCGCCGATGCCGGTGCCACTCTTACCTGGTAAAGAGGGGGATGTCTTCATGCCCATCCGTCTCCTGTATCTGATCTTGGCATCTGAGATGCGTACATACAATCTTCTCTTGTCTCTTCTCTTCTCTTTCTGTTCATTTTATCTATAGTGTTATAGCCAAAGCGTCATCGTGCGCATGTAAATACAAAGAATGCTGGTCAACTACCATTCCGCCGCCCCCTCCCCCCCCTTTTTTTTTTCAATGCCCCGTGAACACATGTTGGATATACGTGCAGTGTGCTACTAGTATCGAGGAACTCTTCACGACCCTCGATATGAGGGAAGTGGAGTGAGACTGCGGGGTATCTATCATGTCGCATGATTGATGCTGAGAGGGAAGGAACTCTCTACCTCTTGGGCTGGGCAATGAGGAAGGGCCGCAGCAGGTCGTGCCTTCCTCATTCAACATGCGCTCCCACCACGTCTTGCGTCACTTCAGCCCACGTCGAAGGCCCGGAATCGTCTTCTCAGAAGTAAACCGTCTATAGATTCAGCGACGCCTTCAGACACCGACGCCATGGAACCCCCATCGACATCGGCCGACACTCTGACCCTCCACGAGATCCAGCTTCGACACAAACTGTCCCCGGCCACCATCCGCACCCTCTCCTCCATCCCGAGCAAGCCCGACAGACGCACCGTCCTCGAGACAGCCTGCCACGCGACGGAAACCCGCTCATTCTCCATCAAGCAGGTCGAGCGCGCCTTCTTCCGCCACATCAACGAGAACACACAGATCCCGTACCTCGTGCGCCGCGAGGCCGTCACTCAGCCCTGGCACAAGGTCTTCCTCCTGGTTCAGGTTGATCTTCTGGGGAGTACTGGGTGGCCGAACAGGCTCACGGCTTCGGCGCGCAAGGAGCTGCTCCAGGAGCGTGGGCGGATCTATGCCGTCGTTGATCGCGTGCTGCGCTGTATCGTCGATATCCTCGGCCAGCGGCTCGACGGGCGCGGGGTCGGCGTGGCGCTCGATGTGCTGCGCAGTGTCAGGGCCGGCGTGTGGGACGGGAGGGGCATGGAGCTCGTGCAGGTGGACGGTATAGGACGGGTCAAGATGGAGAGGCTCGTCGCAGCAGGGGTGCGCACAGTCAGGCAGCTTTCCAACCTCGAGTTTTACCACATCGAGCGGCTTCTCACCCGCAACCCGCCGTTTGGACAGACGGTTCTCCGTCAGCTGGCCGGTTTCCCGCTCCTACGTCTGAAAGTCGACGTCGTGAGGATGCTTGGCGCGGCTGCTGATGATCAGACGGAAGGCAGCCCATTATGGATTGCCCGCATCGTCATCGGCTACGAGAATGAAGACCCCCCCCAGTGGAGGAAGAGGTATCCCTGGACCACGCTCGTCGTCGAGGGCCAGGACGGCCGCTTGGTGTGGTTCTGGCGGGGTAGTGTCAGGAGGCTGGAGGGTGGTAAGGAGATGGTCGTCAGATGGGCGGGACGGCGCGGGGAGAAGCTCAATGCGACATTTGCCTGTGAAGAGCTGGTGGGTACATCAGTTAGCCAGGAGGTTCTTCTCTGAGATTCTTGCTCTTTGTCGTCACCTGCTTCCCCCCCCCCCCTAGTTTCATCTTCGAAATAAGGTCAGACGGCTCAATCATTGTTCCACGCCTCATGCATGCAGGTCAGCTTAGTCGAATCACGAAATCTAGTGTGTGCTTGGCTCAATCTCAATGACTCTTGGACTCGCCGTGTTTGTCTTCTCCTTCCACTACTGAGTGTTCCCATGATTCCAGACTATTTTATCGAAGATGCATAATAGTTGAAAGAAGTTCGGAGCCTGAGAGTCGGTCGAATGCATCATCATACCGGCAAGCGATCTAACTGGTGGTGCTCACATAAACACATGATTGCTCTCATCGCGTTGCATGCTCATTACGGAAGTTTTATATGTTCTACGCCCCTGCTATCCTATCGTGGTAGGGATCTCTCACATAATACGTATAGATGACCAAACGCCCTGTCCCACACGGGACGTGATCTCTACGCAGCAGGCCGTTCAAAGACCAGACTAGACTGTCGGGTCGTTGGGAATAATACCCCTGTAGCCCCTTTATTCAATCAACGGATACGGAATACAATAATACGTCGTATCCGATGCAAGACGATCAAATTGATGCAAGCTCTTATCGGCGTGGAAACTAGTCGGACATTTTTAACTATCCGACCATGACAGATTTGACATTCTTGATATTAAAGCAACAAAACGACGGGGGTTTTTTTCCTTTTGAATCTTTTTTTTTTTTTTTTTCGAAAGAAAAATTTAATATCGGAAATGATTCCCAAGGATATACAGACACAAATAATGCTTACATATAATATCGCCCTGCATTGGTGTCCGACATGGTTGGAAATATGCATATCCGAGAGCTTCATACTTACTATACACCGTCCGAAAGCCAAGGGCACAGGGATAAATCGATCGATGGATATATGTATCATGACAAGGCTGACTATTACACATGGTCGTCTGACCCAGATACGTGTGGGTAAGATGAACAAGCTTAAAAGACAGGCATGATATGATTCCCCCCCCCCCCCCCCCGGTCACGCCTCTTATGTACAGCTGGTGCTGTTACTCGGTGGTCATCTTTGTCCTCGTTGTTGCGGAACAACCCATCCTATATCTTTTCTATCTCTATGCGTATCTTGATTTTCATCTGTCTATTCATGTAAATATCTGTTTTTTTGTCATTTCCCCCCAGCATCGGCTAGAAAAATACCATGCTTTCCAGAGCAGCACTCGTCCTTCTCGCCCTGACGGGCATCTCCGCCGCCGGCACAGGCAAAACCCTTCAAAAGGGCCGGCAGAAGAACCTGGCTGTCGTGGGAGCCGTTGTCGACGGCCTACCGGGCCTGACATTTGGCTTGGCAGCCAGCACGTGCGACATTGGGCTACACCGAGTGCGACGACGACTGGTGCATACCTCTGACGGGGACGTGCTGCAAGGACGGCAACGGAACGTACTGCGCGCTGGGCAAGTACTGCATCCCCGGCGGGTGCTGCCAGCTTGGAAACGTATGCGGCAGCGTATCGGACGAGTGCGACGTCGGCCAGGAGGAGTGCGGCGGCGCCTGCATGCCCGCGGGGAGCGTGTGCTGCAACGACGGCGAGCACTACTGCGATGCTGGACGGACGTGCGTGGCCGACGGCACGTGCCGGAGGGCGTGCGACGTCGGCAAGGAGCCCTGCGGTGACGAGTACTGCATGCCCGAGGGGAGCGTCTGCTGCGGAGACGGGTACTACTGCGATGCCGGGCGGACGTGCACGGCCGACGGCAAGTGCCGCAACGGGAGCCGCACCGGCGGCGACGAAGGCGGTGCCACCACCACGTACTCCATGACCTCGGCCGTCACCAGGACGGCGGCAACTGCCACCACGCCGACCGGGTTCGGCAGCGCCACTGCGACAGAGACATCCTTCTCAGCTTCTTCTACCGAGGAGGAGGAGCCTGTCGGCACGGCTACGTCTTCGCCCTCGTCTGGCTCTCAGAGGCCCCGCCCTTCCAGCGTCGATGGGCTTGGTGGTGGCGGCAATGACGATCGCAGCGGCAGCGACAGCGGCGCCGACAATAATGACGGACCTAGCGGGGAGGCCGGGAGACTGGGAGTATCGGGTCTGGCTGTGGGCATTGTTTGTGCCCTGATTCTTGGCCTGTAAGGCGGCCTCTACCCTGGGCTGTCTCTCAAATGTTGCTTACCCGAGTTAGCCTTTCTTTCGTATCACGCTTTGTGTGTAATGTCAAGAGTGTCAGTGTCATGTGAGACGTTGCGAGTCTTGAGCATCCTCGAGAACGAAAGAAGATAATACATTTGCTACCATGATACAGTTAGGATACATGTTTTATATTGTGCGACATGAAGAGGAGGGAGGTGTTGAGTTGTGACTTTTTCTTGTTTTGTTTTGCTTTGCTTCTTCTTCCACTCTGCTATCCACCCCCTCGAGGCATCGCGAACAAGCTGGTACATGTCTTGTGTAACTAGGCCATGTGCATGCTTCGGTCTTGTGTGCGTAGATTATTGTGTTCTTCTGGGCGCAGAGGATAGACAAAGGGGATGTGGTAAATGTTGTTGTCTCTGGTATCGTTCTCCTCTCCTGTAGAGAGTTTACCGATGCCCAGCCGTCTGGTGGAACCCGTCAAGCATGGTTTCCCTCATGGCGTCCTTCTTTTCCTGCTGGGATTGTGAGTGTACGTCGGAAGTGTTATCGAGATCGGAGTCGGTAGCAGGTTCCTCGCTGACAACCGCCTTCTTGGCCGCCGACTTGGCCTGCGCCTCGTTGATCTTGCCATAGACGCTGAGACCTGAGGCGATCATGCCCGAGATGTCGCCGACGTTGCCGGGAACGACAACCGAGGTCCCCTCCTTGGCGAGCTTCGAGAAGGCGTCGACGTACTTCTCGGCAATGTTGAGGGACATGGCGCTCTGGGCCCCAGCCTGGCCGGCCGTGATGCTGCGGGCGACGGCGTCGATACCCTCGGCGGTGGCGGCGGCGCGCAGGCGGATAGCCTCAGCCTCACCGTCGGCCGTGTTGATGCGCTCTGAGCGCAGGGCCTCGGACGCCAGGATGACACTCTGCTTCTTTCCCTCAGCAATATTGATGGCGCTCTGGCGCTGGCCCTCGGAGTCGAGGATCTCGGCACGTTTGGAGCGCTCGGCTGTGACCTGGCGGTGCATCGCCTCAACGACGGCGGCAGGGGCGTGGATATCGCGGATCTCGTAGCGGAGGCAAGTGACCCCCCAGGCCTCGGCGGCGTCGTTGATGGCGGCCGTGATGTTGGTGTTGAGGGCGGCGCGCTCCTTGAGCACGTGGTCGAGGCTCAGCTGGCCAATCTCGGAGCGCATCGTCGTCTGCGCCAGCTGCGAGATGGCGTATTCGGCATCCTCAACGCCGTAGCTGGCCTTGTAGGCGTCAAAGACGCGCGTGTACAGAACACCGTCGAGTTCCAGCGTCACGTTGTCTGCCGTGATGGCGCTCTGCTTGGGGATCTCGATAGCCACCTCCTTGAGGCTCTTGACGTAGGCAATGCGGTCGATGAAGGGCACCAACACTGCCAGTCCGGGTTCGAGTATGCGGTTGAACTTTCCCATCCGCTCGACAATCCATGCCGTCTGCTGGGGTACGAAGCGGATCACCGTGTTGGCGGGCAGCCTCTGCCTCTGGAAGTAGGTGGGCAGCGGGCCCGAGGGAGAGAAGCCGCTGCCCAGATACGACGCGGCACCGGCCGAAGCACCGGTAGGGGTCGACAAACCGGGCGATGTAAAGAGATGACGACGGGTGAAGGCGGAAGGGGTAGAGGCTCGGGCCAGCTGCCGAGTAGCTAGGGGAGCCCTGTGGGCGACAGTTCGGGTCAATTGAGCGGACATGACGACGGGAGACGACGGGGCTGGTGTCGGCAGTCTGTCGTTTCGCTGTTTTCAGATCGGAGCTGCCTCCACCGTCGGGCACCGCGTATATCGGGTATTCGTCGTGGTTCGGAGGGGAGTTTCGGCGGAGAGGGATGTGCTGAGAGAAGACTCCTAGGAGGGAGAGGCTGTTTGGGAAGGAAACAGAGCGAGCAATAACTCGGTACGTCGTAATTGAGATTGGAGAGCTCTGGAATCGTCTCTTGTTGGGGGAAAGGTGGATTGCCGATGTTCAACCGATATCTGAGTGGAATCAGTGGCAGGTACCACCGATAACGTCAGAACTGGCAAGGACGGGAATAGGAAGTGGGCTGCTCCTTCCTCATTGCTTAGCAACGCTTGCCGGCGGACCTTTCTGGCGGCGCTGGCTTGTGCCCCGCCATTTACCTTGCTCTCGCCAGAGGCCTCGTCTGTCTGACGCAAACCGTATACATACTACGACCGCGAGCGTGTATCTTGTGCGTACCTCCTCCACTGCTACTTCACTGCCCTCTTCCTTGCATCATTGCAGAGGACAGGACCATACGATTACACGCGCAGAGCCTAAGAAAAGAAGAAGCGCACACCTTCCCCCGCCCCACGACAAATTCACACCATCCTCTCTCGCAATAATGGCCAAGGTTCCCCGCAACTTTCGCCTCCTTGAGGAGCTCGAGAAGGGCGAAAAGGGCCTTGGCGCTGAGGCGTGCAGCTATGGTCTGGAGGATCCCGATGATCTTCTCATGTCTAGGTGGAACGGCACCATCCTCGGTCCTCCCCACGTACGCCGCCTCTTCCTGCCCGCATAATTCTTCTCCTCCTCCATTTGCTTACCTTCTTGGGCTGATATGACATGCATAACAGTCAGTCCACGAGAACCGCATCTACAGTGTCAAGATGCACTGCGGAGAGAGCTACCCCGACAAGCCTCCCACCATTCAGTTCGTCAGCCAGATCAACCTTCCCGCCGTCGACCAGCGCAACGGCAACGTCGACCCTTCGATGCTCCCCTGCCTGGCCGGCTGGAAGCGCGAGAACACCATGGAGACCGTTCTCATCGAACTGCGGAGGTGAGTTGGACCGTCACGCAGATGCACAGGACAGGTGAAGATGGCCAGTGACCACTTATTGATCTTTGTATCGCCCTAGGTACATGGCTGCTCCCGCCAACAAGAAGCTGCCCCAGCCTCCAGAGGGCACCACCTACTCGTAGGCGAAACGTCCGAGGTCAAGCCCGCCATCGCGCCATGCTTTTTGGCCGGCCCCCTTTTTTTTCTCTGCCACGACCAAATCATCATGTTAGACCGACGAAGGAGTCATGACTACGCAAGTCTGGGTGGAAACCAGGTGTTGAGATAGCGAGAGGGTCTTCCGTATATGCGAGGATACTGGTTCGAAATCAAAGACTGCGTCCCTCTGCTGGCCCGTTTGAAAGAAAACAGATGTAGCCTGGGATGAGGGATGAACATCACATACATGACCGCGTGGAGTAATTTAAGGGCTGCCCCTGAACCTCATTTCCCACTCCGTCTCAATACAATGATTGTGTACAGCTCCATTACGATCACGCTATACATACACACCTAGCTTTTGGGTCCAGGGGGGGAACCAAGAGAGAGACAGATTCTCCAAGAAAGTGAACCTCTCAGCCCAGCTGCCACTCGCTGCTAGACAGGATCATTGATTTTCTCGTCTGATGATGAGTGACGGAAACGTATTTTTTTTCTTCTTTTTTTTGATACTCGACTTATAAGTAAATGCAGCATGGTTACAAGAGTACTAACCTCGTTATAGACCCTGATGCCAGATGCCAGGACCTATCGGGGGAACTGTACGGAAGCGGGCCGAAAGGGTCCCGAAAGTGGTATCGTCATACCTTTCCGCCGTTTCAGTGGGCGGGAAAGCAGAGCTGTCCCTGTGTTGTGTTCTGACAAGGACGGTGTCGGAGTCTTGACGGTATAGACGTCAGAACCGACACGTGAGCAAGACCGTGCAAGGGCAACGGTGATGACGGTGAACGGCGAGAAGATATTTAGATGTAGTCGGACAACATGATGTATTTATGAGGACGAGGACAAACACCGCAAACACTCCTGACTTACATTCAAATAGCAGGTCAGGTGTTCAGTGGCGTCAAGGTTCTTGTTCTGTACTCTTCTTGTGGCGGTGCTGGACTCGACGGTTTTATGGTCGAGTCCCGCTTACCTAAGCCATGATCCGATTTACTATGGCAACAGTGCTATAAAGGAACACATTTGCTAAAAGGAGGAACCATGTACATTGAGAAGAAGGAAAGCACTGAAGAAAAGGAATCTTGTATGTGCACATCATAGATAGCCTTAGGTCTGCCTGGGAGGCAGTGTTGGTTTGGTGGCCTGAGGCCGCGGCTCATGGGGTCGCAGCCAGTCCTAGATGCCCACCTCAGATGTGAGATCGTCACCAGTCTTCTCCCTCGCGGGTACATGTTTTGCACCCCCAGAACTGTGACACAAATCCGGTCCTAAAACTCCAGCTCGCGTGGAACTGCTGGAGAACGGAACGCGGGCGTGGGGGCCGCCGGGTCTTGTCAGGGTATGGAAAACGGTGTGGCGTACATCCCATGTGAGGAAGGCAAAGGAGAATCTGAAAAGGGAAGAACCAACACACAAAATATGGGGAAAATTAACGGGGAAAAAAAAAGGAAAAAGCAGAACCTAGGTGCTGCCACGCGTACCCCTAAATTACTACAGCCAATATTGCTATTACAGAAACCGCGGGCCGGCTCGTTTACGGCGAGATACCAACGGCCGCTTCACCGTTGAGATGGGTGCCTATATCTGCGGGCTGGGTAGGGGAAGGTGGCTGATTCTCATGGGAATAAGTCATAAACCAGGACGGACCGTGGCTCTAGAACAAGATGGGCGCCCGAATGAGGAAGGAGGGGAGGGGAGGGGAGGGGGGGAGGATCAGTATCTTCTCCATCCTGCGGAATCTTCCAGCCACTGCACACACCCTCTCTCATCCCTGTTACATCGATATCATCGAATGTGTTGCGCTGCGCTGCTGCCAGGGTGCAGGGTGGTGTGGCGGCGGGGAGGGTGCAGTATCTTGAAACTTCTTGGGTGAGGGTACTCTAGGACAGTTGATCAGTTCCAGGCACACACGCACACCCGGGCCTATCCGTCCCTTTTCGTCGTAGGAACGTCAAGTACAGCTAACACAGTACATATCGTAGGTTTCCCAGAGGTCCGGTCTCGTCCTGGTCTGGGACTTCGTGAAAGGTGTGACAGATGGAGGGGGGGGGGGGGGGGGGGGGGGGGGGTATATCAGCAGCAACGAGTACCTCTGCGCGTGGACGCTGTACAGTATATACACCACCTCACTATTGCATATACATTGGCCGTGACCGTTATACTCGATGGCCATACTCTTTCTGTTTAGGGCAGCCGTCAGTATGCAGCCGTTACATGTTACATGTACGCACTAGTAGCTCGGAACTTGTTATAGGATGGAGAGAGAGAGAGAGAGAGAGAGTGAGTGAGAGCATATACACAGGGTAACAAGCTAGAAGTTGAAGAGGTTTAACTACCTTCTGTTCCCTGCATACTCCATACATCCAAAAGCTTCCCATGTGCTCGTATGCTGCCGTTATCTCGAACCTGGACCTTTGAGACTCAGATCGACCCGGAAAGACCAGATAGCCTGCTCACCATGTCTGATGTCGTACCAGGCATGGAGTACGACGCCTCCAGGGCCGACGAGTCCAACCTGCCTCGCATACTGGGCATCATCACCGCCTTCCACGTCCTCGCCCTGACCACGGTCATGTTGCGAGTCTACGTCCGCATCAAGCTGATACGGAGCCTGGGGCGGGATGACTGGACTATGGCTGCAAGCGCGGTACGTTGCCTGCGCTCCTCCACCTAAGAGGGCGGCCGGGTGCATGCTCTGTATGTATCTCGGGAGCGGCGCTGACGGGGAGACCAACAGTTCTGCGCATTCGGCGGATGGATCATCTTCGTCTACCAGGCCACACAGGGTCTGGGGCGCCACTCGTGGGCCCTCAGCCAGAGGCAGAGCTCCAACATTGACGCCGGCACCTTCTGGATGTCCATCATCTCGTCGTCTGCCGGCATCTGTCTGCTCAAAGTGTCGATCGCTCTCAACCTCATGAGGATGAGCCCCAACAAGTGGTACTCGTGGACACTGTGGGCAAGTATCGGTCTGTTCACCCTTCCACCCCCCCCAACCAACCCATCGAGATCCAGGCAACCCTTGGCTGATACGTACGTACGGGACAGCCTTTGTCTCGGCCTACAGCATCATGGGAGTCTTCACCTTTCTCCTGCATTGCCACCCCATGAGGGCTCACTGGGACACGTCAGTACAGGGGAAATGCTACCCGCCTAGCCTGTTCATCTTCTTTGCCGTCCTCAACTCTTGTGGGTCGTGTTGAATCTTTCCTTCTCCTTCTCTGCCTCCCTGCCGGAATCTGGCCTGCTGACCAGTCTTCAGCATTCAACATCTTCACCGACGTCCTCTTCGCGACATATCCCATCCCCATCATCTGGACGCTGCAGATGAAGCGCAAGACTCGTCTCTATCTTATCGGAGTGTTGAGTCTGGGCTACTGGTACGATACAAAGATCTCTGACGCCTCCAGATGTACGAACACACTTCTCACGATATGATAATGCGACGCAGTGCCGTGGCTGTCGGGGCCCTCAAGGCATCGTCACAGATCCACTACAACCCTCTTGCCGACAACAACTTGCAAGTCATGACTTCTTCCCCAAGGCGAACGCGCCCAAGCCTACTAACACGTCTTCACAGCGACTCGTGGATCACCTTCTGGGCTGGGTAAGCCGCGCGTGTACATTCCCTACACTCTCCGCAGCTCCATGCTGACAGCAACGACAGCCTCCAGATCAACATTGGCATCACGACGGCCTGCACCCCTTCCCTGAAGCCCCTGGTGTCCAACGTCCTCAAGCTCAGTTCGTACCAGCGATCGACCGACGCGTACGGATCGAGAAGTCGCGGGGCGACCAACAACGGCACCGGCCAGAGTCGCAGCCGTTCCGTGTATCGCGACCAGTACACCCTGGAGGAGATTGACAGCAAGGACTCGGACGAGATCCATCTGGGGAGAAGCACGCCCCACCACACGGCCATGGTCATGGGACCCTCATCAATAGATGACAGCAACAGTGACGACAGGGCATTGAGCGACGGGTCTGCCTCCCGGCACCCTCCCAGCAAGGGAATCGTCCGGACGACTGAGGTGATTGTGAGCTGATGAAAGAAGAGGGGAGGGGGGGGGGGGGGGGGTGATACGAAGCATCACAGTACTTGATCTCATGGAGCGGTAGTTCATTATCGGGCCTCTTACTCGGTTCATCACGATTCACCGCGTACATAGTTTAGTTTCTTTACATCTTCTCCTTCTTCTTCCTCCACATAATTCCCCTCGAGTTTTCAGTTTTCAGGGGCCCCCCGTGGACGATAGTTGCAATATGATATAGCCATGTTACCATCTGTTTATAACAATAAAGGGCCCCAAATTTCACCTGCATTCGATATTCGATAGTCAGTACGGTGAGCCATGAAAGGCCAAAATGGGGAAACACGTCGGTGTGCGAGGACAGGTACAGTCGTATTTCCGAGACTCAAAGTCAGGTACGAGGATTGCGACATATATTCTGCTGCATCTATAGCACCGCATGGCGCACCCGTACGAGAAGTCCGAACGACAAAAGAGAGAGGGGGGGGGGGGTAGAAAGAGAGAGAGAGGCCACAGAACCCGACGCCAAGTCTTCAACATGAGCATTGCGGCGTAAAAAAAAAGAAAAAAAAGAAAAAGAAAAAAAAATCCGCATGGACGAACTTCCTGTCTCGGTCGAATGACGGGTGTGAACCCTGCGTCAGGTGCAGAATAGAGTCGGAATCCCAGGGTGACATGTATGCACATATGCAGCTACCATTACGTGCCACTCCCCTATATGCGGACATGAAGCAGCGGAACTACATGTACATGCCATGGTGCTTGAACGTCTTCCGAGTGTTATGAGCTATAGTATACGACGGGATAGATGGAAGCGATCGTTAGTATAGACTGCGGCGTATTACATGGCAGTAATATCGGGCGTTCTTCCAACCGTCGACAAGACACGATAATAGTATCACTATTCTCGCTTGTAGGTAGGTCCTTGACTTGACAAGTCTAGTGGGGTCTAACTCGTAGGTTGTCCGGGAATCGACGGGGATAGGATACCAATGTACTCCGTATTTGATGATGTGTATTCACATCATAATATATGTATATATATACATATTATATCAATATGTACGGGGTATATTCCCATCAACTCTCCACCCGTCGCACTAAGACTCTCCCCCCTCCCGCCCCCGGTCGTGTCCCCCCACCCTGGTCTACTCTGGTACGGAAGAATAATGTTATGATAATCGTTCCTGTATACGAATTGTTGAGGAGGACCTTGATCCCCCACCCAGATAGAGCGAGCAAGGGTTCAGAGTAGCTGATATTCCATTATCAACGCGCACCATGTTTCCTCGACTGAGTGGACGACAAACAACAACAACAACAACAACAACAGCAGCAGCAACAACAACAGCAACAACAACAACGATGACGACGACAACTGGTTGCGGAAGAGACGGGAAACGATCCATTATTGTTCGTCTGCATTAATATTCCTCTCCCTGGATGATTGGACCGCCTCTGCATAATTGGCCGAGCAGCACTCTAGAACGACACATGGAAACGGCGATAGAAGCCTCAATTGATCGATTTCCCTGTCCCCTGTCCCCTGCCCCCCTCCTCTTCTTGTCTGTTGGTCCTGCAAGCATGTACGTATACGGCATGTAACGTCGTGGGCATCGGGGAGTTTCCCGTAAGGGAATCCACAGGGGAATGCGAGAGAGAGAGAGGGAGAGAGAGAGAGAGGAGGGGCGAAGAGTTAATTCAATCCCTCTGTTTCTATCTCTATCTTCTCTTTCCACTGAGTCTCAACTTTTCAAAAATGTTTATGCCCCAACTCCCTCAGCGTAGAGACTTCCCTCCTCCAGCTCGACTCTCGATCTTTCTCTCCTGCCATCAACTACCAAGCTTTTTTTTAATTGTTTCTGTTTCTTAAGAGAAGAAAAATGATTCAACCTTCTCCCCCAGTTCACTATCCCGGTCTCTCACTCTCATGCGATCAATAGTTGATGAGTGTTCTGAGTAAAGCAACTTCCACCGAACCCACCCTGCCGGAAGTTGCCTCCCACGCCCGCCTCTTCCCCGGGGCGGAGCGTTGACGATGTCTATAGTCCATAACGGACACTCGTACCGAGTGGCGAGCAGGGGGCCCGGGCCTATACGGGGTTGTGACCCAGCGGAGATTGAGGACTACGCAGCTCGTTCCCATCGGGTCATGGCACGATCGATCTTGGGATAAAAACGGTTCCAATGCCGGCCACGTCTCTCTGCTATCCTTCGTTTACACACACACACACACACACACACACATACTCTCTCTCTCTGTCCCTCTTTCTCTGTCTTTCTTTCTCTCTCTCTCTTAGGTCAAGTCATCCTGATAGACGCTCTTTTCTTTCCTTCTCCCATAATATCTCCTTTCCAATATGCTCTACACCTCTCTCCGCCTCTTGGGTACCGTGGCCTTGGCCACGGCCGCTCCCAGCGTCATCAAGAAGGACGTTGTCATCGTCGGCGGCGGCGCATCAGGCGCCTACGCTGCCGTGCGTCTCAGGGAGGACTATGGCAAGAGCATTGCCCTCATCGAGAAGCAGGATATTATCGTACGTATCTTCTGAACAGTACTCCCTCCCCTCCCCTCTCCCCAACCGATACGCACACTCCGATTTGTAGAGAATGGGGAAGGGGGGGGGGGGGGGGGGGGCTTTTTTTTCCTTGAAAAAAAAAAGGAGAAGTAAAAAAAAAGGAAAGTAAAAAAGGACTGACACGAGGAAACTCCCTCCAGGGTGGCATGGNAAGCAGGATATTATCGTACGTATCTTCTGAACAGTACTCCCTCCCCTCCCCTCTCCCCAACCGATACGCACACTCCGATTTGTAGAGAATGGGGAGGGGGGGGGGGGGGGGAGGGGCTTTTTTTTCCTTGAAAAAAAAAAGGAGAAGTAAAAAAAAAGGAAAGTAAAAAAGGACTGACACGAGGAAACTCCCTCCAGGGTGGCATGGTCGACTCCTTCACGGACGCCTCGACCGGTCAGTCTTTCGACTACGGAGTCGTGTCCTTCATCGACTCCGGCAACGCCACGGGCTTCTTTGAGCGTCTGGGCATCGAGCTGGGCACGACCACGTCGGCGACGGTGACGACGCAGTACTACGACTTCACGACCGGCAGGGCCGTCAACTACACGCCGCCGGCGTTTGCGGACCAGCTGGCCGGGCTGGCCAGCTTCCTCCCCGCGGCGGAGAAGTACGAGCCCCTGATCCAGGGTCCGGGATACTTTGACTTCCCCACCGACGCGGCCGACATCCCCGAGGACCTCCTCCTCCCCTTCGTCGACTTCGTCACCAAGTACGGCGCCGAAGAGGCCCTCCCGTTCATATACCAGACCACCGGCCTGGGCATGGGCAACGTGTCGGCCGCCCAGACCATCTGGGCCCTCCAGGCCTTCGGCGCCTCCATGGCCCGCTCCGTCCTCGGCATCCAGGGCTCCCTCGCCCCGGCCTCCGGCCGTAACCAGGACATCTACGACGCCGTCGCCGACCTCCTGGCCGACGACGTCTACACCTCCACCACCGTCACCTCCACCCGGCACCTGACCGGCGACGCCGGCGCCGGCGTCGAGCTGACCGTCCGCAACGCCGAGACCGGCGAGACCTCCACCATCCAGGCCGGCAAGCTGCTCCTGGCCATCGAGCCCACCGCCGAGAACATCGAGCCCTTCGCCGTCGACCCCGCCTCCGCCGCCGTCCTCGCCAAGTTCACCTACGCCCGCGAGTACACCGGCATCATCGACAACGCCGACCTCGTCGCCAACAAGAGCTACTTCAACATGCCCGCCTCCGCCGCCCCCGCCAACCACGCAGACTTCCCCCAGGGCTCCTACACCGCCCGCGTCGACTACATCGGCTCCGGAACCGACAGGAACTACTTCCGCGTCACCATCATCGGCGACGACGACCTCGACAGCGCCGACGACGCAAAGGCCATGTTCCAGGCCGAGTACTCCAACCTCGTCGCCGCCGGCGCCATCGACGGCGCCGCCGACGAGCAGGTCTCCTGGGTCGACTTCTCCGTCCACGGCCCCATGCATGCCCACGTCTCCGAGGCTGACCTCAAGGCCGGCTTCCTCGCTGACCTGTACGCCCTTCAGGGCAAGAACGACACCTGGTGGACCGGAGGTGCTTGGGCCGTCAACTTCCAGACTCACCTCTGGGAGTTTGATGACATCATCCTCCCCAAGCTCGTCGCCAGCCTGTAAATCCATATGCCCCGACATGTCCCTACTCTTCACAATGTATACGCTTATACTCTCATCACTAATAATAATAATACATGTACATAGCTTTTTTTTTTTTTTTTTTAAAAAAAAACTTTTTTTTTTACGATGCTATCAAGACTGTTTATACCATGCTTCCGGCGGCCCCTACCGGGAGGGAGTTCGTCCTCGCTACCAATCGCAAGGACCTGTCAACACACGATCTCTGCTCGTCTGTCGCGATGAGAAACTCCCGTTCCACCGAATTCTCAATGTAGAGCGAATACTAGTAATCAGGGAAGCACGAGTTGATGTACGGCAGTATTACAGTAACAAACATGGTGTATATGTGTGTATATGTGTATATGAGCATAGCAAGACGCATATTGTAACATTAAAATATAAACAATGAATAATAATAACAGCATAGAAAGATAAAATAATAACAATAAAAAGAGAAATCTTTTCTTCGTAACGAGGTAAAGAAATTCCTTGCCGGTGACACCATTAAAAAGAGAGAGAGTGTGTGAGAGGTAAGAAAGAGGGGGGGGTGAGGTCTGCGAGGTGTAGAGAAGGATCACATCAATCCTCATTTCCCCACCACGCAAACTGTCCCGTCGTAGCCGGCGGCCCGAACGCGCTGAGGCGTACGCCAGGCTTGATCATCCCACCCATCACGGTAGGCCTCGTCATGGGGGAGATGGGACTGTCCGGCCTGGGAATGCCAGGCTCCTCGCCGTCGTAGTCATCGCTGTCCGTCTCGGCCGACAGACGCCACGGCTGGGACCGGGGCTGGGGCGGTAACCGAGACTTCGGTGGGTGCGGCCGAGTCGGAGGAGCCGGAAGGCGCTCCTCTTCGGCAATGTCCCAGTGCGTGTGGTGACGGCCGGTGATGCGGGCGGGGCCCTTGTTCCGCCTTGAAGACTCGGTGCTGTCCTGGTGGTGGTGGTTGTGGGTGGCCGTCGAGTTCTGGCGTCGGACCGAGTCCGCCGTCGGACGTGGCGGCGCCGGGAGAGAGCTCCTGATGTGGGTGGGGTTGGTGATGCTCCTGCTCCGAGGCAGCCACGAGCTCGTCGAGTCAGTGTGCGTGAGACCGCCCAAGTCCATCTTGGTCCAGGATCTGTCATCCTCCAGCATAGGCTGCGTGGTGACGGGCGTGGGTTGACGCCGAGTGCTGCGTGGGCGGAAGGAGTCGTGGCTTGCCGAGCTCCGCAGCTTCCGGGAGAGAGCCTTGCTGCTGGCATGAAACGGGTCCTTGCGATGATGGGATGACGGCGGGGGCGAGACCAGGAAGACGGCGTCGTCCTGCGCGGATGATGATGACGGCGGCTCGCCGTCACGCTTCCTGTCGTTCGGATGCTCAGGGATGGTGAGGTTGACGATCGACGAGTTCGCAGACTGGGCAGACGAGACCCTTCCATTGGCTCTCAACCCGCGATCGGCTGGCGGGGCGGGGAAGCCGAAGCAGTCGTCCATGATGGTGGCTTCCGACATGTTGCATCGGTGACCCATGGCCGAAAGGCTACGCTGCGGGCGTGCGGCGTCCGGGGGGCCGTTCCTGCGCATCTGCTCGCGGCGCTGGCGCAGAGCGTGGATGAGCATCTTCTCCTGGTGCGTCAGGCCCATGACCTGCCCGCCCTCATCGGCCGCGGGCTTTCCGGGCTGCGCGGGCTGCGCAGGCTGTAGGTAGGACTCGACGGAGGAGGGGCTGAGGGGAGGTGTGAATGCCGCCCCCGCCGAGGATGGAGCAGCCAGGGACTGCCTTGCCGAGGACCGACGGCGGGAGGAAGACTTGTCCGTCTCGGAGCTGAGGTCGTCCTCTGCCGCGTCCTTGTCTGACGGATCGGATCGTGGTCCACGGGCCGACACCAAGGTTACCGCACGCGCCTGCTGGATACCGTAGCTCTCCCGCTTCGGCTGGCTGTCGAGCGTTCCGGCAGACGAAGCCGTCATGGGCAGGGACGTGTTCGACCTCGAGCCGGAGAGGCCGGACGAGGGCACCCTCAGCACCGTCTCCCTCGAGTTGATGGTGGAGGCTGCCGGCGATGTCGACTTGCTCGAGAGGTGGGTCGTGTGCATGGCGAAGAAGCCGGTCGAGGTGGAGCTCGTGTTCCTGAACGTCTGCACCGAGCCTCGGCCGCGAGCGCTCTGGCTGTCATCAGAGGCCACGGATGCCAGGGTGGACGGATCGGACAGCATGGACGAGCCTCTGAATCCGGGTGCCGGCGCGTCCGGCACGATACTCGATGCGCTGTCCCGGGCCAGCCCGCCGACGTACGACGTCTCGTCATCATCCCCCTCGGAGTCGGAAGAGAGCATCAGCACGCTCTTGTCCTGAAGCTCCGACAGCTGGAAAGACGCCTTTGACGTGCGCGTGTGGCGGCTCGATATGCTGGCACAGTCCGTCGGGGACAGCTGGTCCGATCCACGGCGAGGAGCCTGTGCGAGCTGGGCGTGCATGCCGTTCTGGCTGCCGCTGCTGCTGGCCTGGGAGTGCTGGCTGTGCTGGGTCGGCGGCGCATCCCTGGAAGCAGCCTTCTCCGGCATCGGGTGGCTGCCGAGAGGACCGTCGTCTCTGCGTCTCCGGTGGCCGACCGGCTTCGCATCCGGGGCCAGATCCAGCGTCCGTGCCAGCTCGGCCGGGTCCTTGTCCATCCTCAGCGCCTCCCCGCCGTGAGCCTTGTCGGGGTCATCGTCGATCTCGTCCATGAACTGGGAGAATGACATCTGCTCGTAGTGTCGGTACAGGTTGGAAATGTCGCTGAACTTGTTTGCCGTCTGCTGTCGCCTCTGGAGCTGTGCTTGCTGCTCCTGCAGTTGCTGCAGCCTGGCGCGTTGCCTCTGGCTTCCACTCGTCTCCGGGCGGGGGGCGGTGTTGGCCGCGGGGGCGGCGGCGGCGGCGGCGGCGGCGGCGGCGGCATCGCGCTTCAGGCTCTCGTGGGTAGACTGCTTCGTGAGCCTCCTTCGTGATCGCCGGGGACGTTCTGGGGTGGCGGGGGAGGCGGCAGACGACGGCGACGCCATCGAGTCGGGGCTCATCACGCAGTCGACGTCGCGGCCGGGAGCGTGACCTGCAGGCTTGGCGACGCGCGACAAGTCGAGATGAGCAGGCTTCTTGCGGTCCCTCGGCTGAGCCGTGTGGCTGTAGATGTTGTCCATGTCGAGCAGCCTCTGGGCCTTGGATGGCAGTCCCTTGGCCATAGCCGAGGCCGAGGTTTGCTGGGAGATGGCCAGCGGTTGCTTGGACTTGTCGTACCAAGACTTGATGGTCGAGTCGGAGGGTTGCTCACGCGGGGCGCGGGTGTACTGGGAGTAGACTTCGTCGTCGGTGTATTCGGCGGTACCGAACCTCAGGTAACGAGGCACGACGTCGGAATCGTCGCCCCACTCCCTCGGGGGTCGTCGCGCAGGGTCGTCGCCGCGGCTGGAGCTAGGGGCCGTCTCCGGAACGGAGGCGCTCACGCCCGAGGCCGAGCTATCCTCCCAGCTGGTGGGAGAGAGGGGGTCAGAACCGAGGATTCGCTGAGCCTTGCTCATGTGCTCGAGGGGCGGCGGGACGGGCACGGGCTGCTTCTTGCTGCGGCCGGGGATGCCAAAGCTGAACCTAGCCATCGTCGCTGCTGATCACACCGGCCGGGTGCGCGGCGGCAGCGGACGGCTTCTCTTTTTTTTTCTTGTGGGGGGTGTTAGGAAAAATCGGTTCGCGGGGCGACTAAGACTTGTGAAGAGGCAGGATGTTGCAGGTCGGCATGTGGAGGAGAGGCGACAGAGGCGGAAAGGAGGGACCGACGGCGACGTCGTAATCGTCGTGGCCGACGGTGTGAAGAGAAGAGGAGGGGGGGAGAGGCTTTCTGGGAGTCTCGAGCTCCGCTGCTGCGATGCCTGAGTGCGCAGCGACTTGTCAGCCTGTCAGGTAATCGACGATGATGCTGAGAGGCGGCAGGCATACCAAGTCAGGTTAGGGGTGTAATGTCGTATCAATATTATTAGTAGATCTGTGGATGTAAGACGCAGAAGGTGGAGGAAAAGTCGGGGTCGTTCGGCCTCTCTCTCTCTCTCTCTCTTTTTTTTTTTCTCTTCTCCCTCTCTCTCCCTCTCTCTCTCGTTCGGAGCGGGATGGTATTAAAGAGGAGAAGGCGGGCCGCGGGTGTCGACGTCTCAGTAGATTGGCGACAGCGCCAAGATGGATCAGAGCAAGGGGACGTGGGGGGTGATGCAAGTCGGCGTCTCCTCCCCCCCATGGGCGCTTGTACGGACAGAGTACAGCGTGATATACCCTTGGCTTTAATACGGAGCCAAAGAGGGAAAGACCAAGTCCGGCCTCGTTAGCAATCCGTCTCGGACTCCTGGTCGACGAGCCGGTGGATCGGTAAGAATGTCTCTGTCGCTGGTGAGATAGATGGTGTCGCCGAGTCCCTCGTGGAGGAGGATTTTGTGAGAAGTCGGAGAGAGGTGATGGGAGACGACGGACAATCAGGCTCTCCAGGCTCCAGCAGGCAGGGAACCACCTCGGATAAGAGGACGAGCGCAGCGGCCGCGACGACGACGGCGACAGGCTACGGCCCAGTAAAAGAACAGGGGGTCTGGGTTTGATGCGAGAGCATGCGTCACCAGCGGGTGCGAAGAAGGAACCCGGGAGTCCGGAGATGGTGACTAGCAGTGGAGATTTGACGGTGGTGTCTTTTTTTTTTCTCTCCCTCTTTTTCCTGTTTTATTATTATTATCGTCATCATCTCTCCCCTGGTTTTCCGATGGATGATTACAAGAATACTCCGAGGTCGTGCAGCCCCGGTCTGTTGATGAGCTGTGCTACGGAAGGGAAAAAAAAAGAGGTTGAGGGCAGGGCGCCAGCTGAGCTAGCAGTCTTGGCTGTGCTCCTACATTTATGTGTTGGTGGTATTTAGTTGCTGTAGTTTGCTGTAGTTTGCTATTGTCGCCGTCTGTTGCTGCTGTTGCTGTCTGTTGCTGCTGCTGTTTTTTGTTGTATCAATCCGTGCCAGTACTGATACTCGTAGCAGTATCGGCGACAGACTGCCATACGGAGTACAGGTAGACGGAGAGCAATGAGAAGCAAAAGGGTAAAGCTGGTCGGTACTGCTGATGATGAAGGGAGAAGCATCGGTTGCGGCTCAGGAACGAGTTCATCGCCCATCACGGTTGCAATGCACCGACCAGTATGAATAATAATAACACTCCGTACAATTCGTAGGGAAGGCACGACAGGAGGGGGGTGGGGGGGGGCAGGGATACGAGCGCTCTGCCTGTCGGCATTTGCCTAATCAGTAGTTACAACCTTACCACGGAACAGTGAAGGGAAAGAGCCACGGACCACAAAGTGACAAAGTTGAAGGCACAGGCACAGGCACAGGCACAGGCACAGAGGCCAGGCACAGAGGCCAGGCACAGAGGCACAGGCAGGAGCAAAGCGTGCCAGGAGATAGGGTTCGGCCCAGTCCAGGACGGGCAAGGTGCTTCCCGCCTCCAGGCTGATTGATCGCTTCCACGCCTCGGTGTTGACACTAACAGGTAGGACAGGCTGCCGCTAAGCCTCAGGTAATCTGCAGCCTGCACAGATCACGTACAGCAGGTATCGTAGCGATATCAGGCCACGTCCATACTCGCTGGAGTGCTCGTGGATGGCTCGATCCACGCCGAACTTGTACACGTGGTGCTGGTTCATATCGATACTGATACGGGAAACAGTGATCCGTAGCATCAATCCACTCAGCCTGCCAGTGCACGCTGTCATCAACGCATCAATCAGGGACTCGTATCTACAGGTACGACGAGTATGCGCGGGGAGTATTAATGTCATGGGTAGGTAAACAAGTAATACGGAGGAGTACTTGTGACCGATACAGGTACTCGTAAAATGGCAATAATAATAAGAAATACGGAGTATGCGAGTAATCACCTTGGTATCATTATCACTCCCCCCCCCCCCCCCCCCCCCCCCCCCCTTTCAGGGCCAGTCGAGGGCTCGCTCAATCGAGAGTACTCTGTCAACCGAGGGGAGCGTCCCTCTCCCCCCTCCCCCCCCACGTCATGTGTAAGAGGGTCCTATAACGATTTTGAAGAGCGACGAGGAGAGAAGTTGCCTGTGTGGGTGCGCGCGACGGAAAAGCGTTCAGCAGAGAGTTAAACCACCACACAACCACAGCACACACGCCTTTAGGCATCGACCACCCCCACATACTCTCTCTCATCTCTTCCCCATCGACATAACAACGCGCCTTCAAAGACAGAAACCAAGTTGGGGGGGTTTCTTTTTTCCGCCTCAATTTTTTTCCCCCTCTTCGTCCCTCTTAACCTTAACTCTCTTCAAATCCGACGCCAACCATCGACACTGCGACAAAGAAAACCCCTTCCGCATTCCGATACACCAAAGAGAGACGTCCCCCTCTCTCCCTCTCTCCCTTCGCGCCTTCCCTTAATTCCGGGCAGACCGAACTGGCACCTGCCTTACGGATTACCCGTTTCGCGCTATCGTCGCTACGGAACACGCCTGAGCACCGAGAGAAGAGGAAGGTATAGCTCAGGCAGCAGCAGCAGCAGCACCACCACCACCACCACATACCACCACAACAGGCAGGAGCTACCCAATCGTCATACTACGGCACAGCTTGTCCTCAACTTCGGAATACCACAGAAAGAAAAAAGAACCTTTCAGCATCGTCACTTCCTCGAAGCCTCGCCATAAACAAGCTCGACAGCCATATCGCGCCCAAGCGTGCCACGGATTACGCCTAAAGTCTATTGCTTTTTTTTTTTTCCATCTCGAGCAGTATTATGATATACATGCAAGGCCTACACGTGCTCGCCCGGCAGGAATAGCCAATATCTCGTCACCCTCTTCTACAACCTCCCCCCTCTCTTCCCTTCTTCTTCCTCTCTCGATCTCGCTCTCTTGGAGAGCTTGAGAGAGAACCATCAGCCGTTCCAGCCGCAGCTCTCTGCTTCTCTGCTAGCTCGGCCACCAACCCCGCAGCCGTCGGGGTATTTTTTTTGGGTGCCTTCGCCTCATCCTTTTGATCCAGGTTGAAACAGAGGTCTCGCTACTAGTCCCGCTTGTATCTCTAGCTTGGCCTTTATCCTACGCCTAAGAAACACGCCGCCTCATCTAGCCAACGCCGCGCCATCGACCCTCGACACTTTGCAGCCAGCCGATCGACTTCTGGTGTCCAGTCTCTATCTTTGTTTCATTTGGTCTTTTTCTTTTTCTTTTTTCCTTTTTTTTTTTTTTTTTTTTAGATCTTTCCTCCCCCCCCCTTAACACTCCGTCGTCTCCCCTCCCCGGGTGCTAGCCTGGCCCCCGACTTGTTCCNCCCCCCCCCCCAATCTAGCACATGTTCAAGGACTCGGAATAGTGTGATCCACTGTGCTAATTAGCCCACCTGCTAGACTCTAGTGGTGATACGACGTGACTGTCTGTGTTGTATCGATACAGTAGCAGATACCATCATCACACTTACATGTACAGCTTGTCAGTGACAACCTGTCAGGAGAGGAGGAGTGAAAGGGGGAAAGAGGGAGGGAGAGAAAGGAAGGAGAGGAGGAGGTGGGAAACCAATCATTCAATATACATACTAATATCAATAAGTAACTAAGTTTTGTAAAAATAAGACTAAATAAAATAAAAGGAACAAATAAAAAAGGAATAATACTACTAATAGTAATAAATAAAAAAGAGAGAGAGAGAGAGAGAGAGTGTGTGTGTGTGTGTGTTGGTGTTGGAATAGATACGTATCACCACCCATATGACTAATACGACTACCAACGCTACAGGCGATTACAGTATAATAATATGGTTACTATCCTGTATTAAAGCAGACGGAACTCACCAGGTATTATCATTACTGCAGGTATCAGAACCGCAGTACGGATCACAGACTACAGGCTACACATACGCATGCATGATACGAGCATGATATAGTAATCACGATATAGCCTGTACGGGCCCAGATTACCGCAGGTATGACTCTACAGAGCGTCTGTGCGGAGTAGCGGCGATGTCGTACTATTACCAGCGACAAGACTATTGCCGTGCATGTACAGATTGTGTACAGGTTGAACTGCACAGATTACGAGCATCACTACTCTTGCTGTACGGAGTACTGCTCCGTACATGGTACTAGCATTAATATACGGCAATAGTCTGCCCCCCCGGCCCCGCCTGATCGAGTTCGCGTGCTCGAGACTAGCAGGTCATGTTTGATTATTTCATTACGAGCACATGCGAGTATACAGAGTACATCCCTATCATCATATCGTTGTAGCCTATACAGATTGCGGCCGAGAGAGCACCGCAATCTCAGCTGCGATCAGAGGCATGAATCATACGAGTCCACAGGCTGTGCTGCTCCGTACGCTGCATTCCGGTGAGCTGGTGTGATTCTTCTTCTTCCTCTTCTTCCTCTTCTTCTCCTCCTCGCTCTTACCCTGTTTTCCACCGCTGTCACCTGATATGGGCGCCTCATATGGGCGCCCACCGTACATGGCACACGGCTGGATAATCTCCTCCCGCACTGACCCATCGATAGCTGGCTCTCCCGGCCCATCAGGTCAGCGTCGATCAGGGGTCAAGCCATCGACATATCCGTAGAGCTGGAGGAGGGGCGATGGCACCAGAGGAACGATGACAGGGTCCTCCCCCCCTCCCCACCCTCGTGTCTATAAGAAGAGAGAGAGGGAGAGGGAGAGGAGGAGGAGGAGGGGTGGGACAGGATGGCGTCAGGTCGCCGATACGGATGAGCTGTGCATGTTTTTTTTTTTTCTTTTTCTGTTCTTTCTTTTTGCTTACCCTGGAATTCCTGGGCAGAGTTTACATCTTACCGCCATCTTATGGAGCACAGTTACATGGGTCGATACCAGGGGTCCCGATGATGAGCAGCCGATCAGCAGCACTGTATGTAACGGTACACACGTAGGACGGGTGTCATCCATCATCCATCATCCCGGGTGGATGGATTCTGGTGGAAATGGCGACGATGGTGAGAGGGAAGGGTTGCCGTTGCTAGTTGCTGCTGCTGCTGCTGCTGCTGTTGTTGTCGTCGTTGTTGTTGTTGAGAGGAACTACGAGTATGGCTTTTCACTGGCTCTATGTCTACTAATCTGTCATGCAGAGTATTATACGGGTAACCATGGACCCTGTCTCTCACCACATTGCTTACAGTTACAAGTCACCTATCTGTGCCGGAATGACTCCGCTGATACGTTGACGAGCTATCGTCTGCTCTTACATGCGGTGTGTGTCTGTCATCTCTCTCTCTCTCTGATCCGCACCTTTCTCTCTTCTTCTTCTTCTTCTTCTTCTTCTTCTCCTCCTCCTTGACCGCTGATAACCGGCAATGCAGATGTGATATTGCATGCGATGAGATGAAGGGATAGAGACAGAGGGCGCAGGGAAGGACGAGAGGAGAGGGGGGGGGGGACAAAAATGAGGTGAGGCATAAATCAATCAATCACCTTGATATCAGGATGAGACCCATCATCATAATACCCGACGAGATGCAACGTGATATTGATCCCGACATGTCATTATTAATATCAAAGCCACCTAACGCTCAGGACAACAACCTCGCAGAGCACTACTATCCAGGATGGACACCCAAGGCAGACGCGGAGCGAGCGAACCCACCGCGACTTGCCAATCTATCTATAGACTGACTATCCACGTCCGAGTACGATGCGATATTATTCATCTCCCCCAGACTCCACACCCCTTTGTGGTCCGGAGCAGACACACTCTAGACAGACACACTCTAGACAGAGACTGCTAGACAGAGCTGTTGGTCCTGTGTTTCTGTCTCGTTCGTCTTGTTCGACGCTCATCATTTCTGGCTACGGCTACTCGTATGACACCTGTCATGATACATCGTGATACTGTCGATACCGATAGATAGAATTGGATAGTGCACCCAAGCTCTGCACTCTGCTGTCAGAATAACATGACAGTTCCATGCCAATCTGTATTGATGGATCAATCCACCGGCACATGGCAAGAATACTATAAATAACCAGAAAAGAAAGATCGAATATTGACAAAAAATATTCAAACTCAACCTTCCTTTTCTCGATAGCTGTTCCGACACTTGTAAGCGCTCAGACTCCTTAGCATGAAACACATATATACTCTCCTGGACTTCTTGAGTATAATATCATCATATTATGATATTTCATCCTGCTGCCTGCATAGATTCAATTACCACAAACGGACTTGCAATCCTTGCTTCTTCTTTTTTTCCCCGGTTCTTTCTTCCTTCTCTCCTTTTTTTTTTGTGTGTGTTCAACTCCTCGATATGACAATGACATGAGAACCGTTACCTCCTCCCCCCCCCCCCCCCCCCCCCCCCCAAAGAAAAAAATAAAATAAATAAAATAAAAATAAAAAATAAAACGCCAACCATCTAGGTCCTATATAGATAAACACATCAACATGATGATCAAGAAGACAGAAATCGAGAAAAAAAGGATGGGGGGAGAGATATGGAAGAAGAAGAAGAAGAAGAAGAGAGAGAGAGAGAGAGAGAGAGAGAGAGAGAGACCAGAGCCCTAGAGACATCGCAGCTTGAGCCACTCCTCGTTCCTGAGCCCCAGATTGAGCCCGTTGCTAGTCCACCACTGCCTGACGTAGCTCTGATCGCCGATACTGTCCTCGAGCGCTTCCTCGATGTTGCAGGTGCGGAACTCGACGTCCTGACCCCTGCCGTCCATGCCCTCGAGCTCGCCGTGGGCGAACCTCCTCCACCACTCGAGCACGTGGACGTGCTGGTGCACCGTCGGCGCCAGGAGGACCTCGTCGTCAAAGACGAGCTTGCTGTCACCCTTGAGGCGCCTCCACGTCTCCAGGACCTGGACCTGGCCCCACCGGCTCGCCATCTTGGCCACGCCGTCGCCGTGGGCCACCGGGATGCCCGACGCGTCCCACCACGCCAGCACGTCGGCGCGGCCGTACTGCGTCGCCCAGAGCAGGGACCGGCCCGGGCGGAGGACGACCTTGTCATCCTGCGCGGCCGCGTCGCGCCACCACTCCAGGACGAGCAGGTGGCCGTTGGCGCTGGCCTGCTCGAGCGCCGTCTCCGTGTACCGCAGGGGGAAGCCCGACCGCCGCCACCACCAGTCCAGGACGCGCACGTGCCCGTTCTTGGACGCCCCGTCCACCGCCTCGGCGTCGTACATGTGCTTGTCGCGGAAGAAGCGGCTCTGCTTCCAGTAGTCGAGGATGTCGGTGCGCGGGTAGTAAGCCGACGCCTTGGTCGGCAGCGTGGTGCCGCCAAACGCCTTGAACAGGTCCGGCCGGTTGGCCTCGAGGTACTCCAGCACGTCGATGAGGGCGAACCGGATCACCAGCCGGACCACCTGCGCCGGGAGGTCCTGGAACCCGGGCGGCGACTGCGACAGCTTCTTGCAGATGGCGGCGGCGTCGCACGTCAGCACCGTCCACTCCAGCTCGTGCTCGTACACGTGCAGGGCCGTGGCCGGGTCGCGCGGCAGGAGCGTCCAGTGCGCCGGCATGGCCAGGTTGGTGTACACCCCCAGGGCCTTGGCGAGCTCCCAGTCGCCCGAGTGGTCGAGGATCATGGTCCAGATCTCGGGCGGGAGCTTCGCCTGCACGCGCACGTCCCCGTTCGGCACGGCGACGGCGGCGACGCCCGTGGCTATCTCGACGTCGCGGCCCAGCCCCAGCAGGTCGGCCTGGTTCTTGATGATGGACAGCACCTCGTTGAAGCCGTTCCAGTTGGGCACGCGCTTCGTCGTGTGCGCGGCCGTCTCGGTCGACGCCCCGCCCTCGTAGTGCCAGGTTATGGGCGATATGAGCCTGATCCAAGACCACTTGCGGTGGATCTTGCTGAGCTGCCGCTTGGTCATCGGGTTGGACCACATGTGCGTGCTCATCCCGGGCACGAGTATGATGCTCTTCTTCTGCGTGTCCCACCCCCGCAGCACCTCGCCCAGGAACGTGTCCGCCACGCCGGCCAGCATCTTGGAGATGCCGTCGGCGTCGAGCGGCGCGCACACCAGCAGGTCCGCCCACTCGACCAGCTCGAAGGCCTGCTGCCGGTAGAACTCGATGTCGTCGGCGTGGTCCGTCTGCCCGGCCACCAGGCTCTGGTTCTGCATCACGATGATGGTCTGCGTCAGCCGCGGCACCACGTCGTCCACTATCGCCCGCATCTCAATCTGCGCATTCTTCGACAGCCGCACCACCAGCGCCTGCGCCCATGATGTGTCGCGCGGTCCCGTGGCTGCCACGAGCAGTCGGAGCTTGCGCTTGCGTGGGGAGAGTACGTCGGACAGAGACGTCACCGACGACGCCGACGCCAGCCGCGGCGCAAACGAGCCGTGGCATGTCTCCATCTTCAGTCGGGCACTTTCAAATGTCGATTCGTGGCCGATCGTCGGGTATCATTCTGTCGGAAGGGAAGAAGGGAGGCAAGATGTCTTTGTCTCGTTATTATCGAGGTCTCGTCCAGCACAAGTGTCGAGGTCGTCGTCGGGCTGAAAGCACCACCGGGGAGCGGGCGGTGTGCTGGGCTCAAGTATCCACCGATAATCGCCACGTCGCTCGGAGAAGGATGGGTCCTTGCAGTTGCAGGGTCGTTGTAAAGTATCGGAGGAAGAGGCTTTTTTTCTTTTGTTCTTTTTTTTTCTTTTTTCCTCGGGCTTGTCTTGTTTCGGTAACCAGCCAAGTCGGAGGATTGATATGCACGAAAGTGCAGGCTGATCAGCAATCAGGCCTCGATGATGTACGACGATGACGATGATGCCGAAAGCTCTTTCTCTCCTTAGAGCCGGTTGGCGTAGCGGGGCTTCCGTCGGCTCTGCACTGGCAGCGCTAATAAAATTGGCGGCAGGACCGTTATCTTATCCCCGCCGGTGGCAAGAATCACCCGTTTCACTGCTTTCATCATCCATCGTCATGATTCAATCATCACAATCACTTAACCAATACCATGCCGATTCGATAGAGAGAAAGAGGAGAATGATCGGATAAGCAGGAGAATATCTGGCTATCTTCCACCGTGACTACAAGCACCTCAACTCTTAACCCTGGCCTTGACTTCGAACCCGATAGGCCTCACATTAAACCACCCGTCCATTCCTTTCTTCTCCAGATCATACGATGGATCGACCAGTTCAAAGTCCACATGCCTGATCAGCATACCAAGGGTGACGGCATTCCACATCCAGGCGAAATGCTTCCCGATGCACTCCCTCTTGCCGTTCCCGTACCACCGGGACGCACCCTTGGGCAGCTTGTCAAATCGTGCGCCCATCATGCGCTCTGGCTTGAAGGCAAGCGGGTCTTCAAAGTAGGTCGGATCACGATTCACACCCGCCAGAACCAGGATGACCTTCTGGTCGTGGGCGATCTCGTACTTGCCCCCCGCAAGCTGGATGGGCGACGTGTCCCCCTCGTCTGGGACGGGCTCGAGGTTGAATCCCGGTGCAGGGTGGCCTAGACGGAGGGACTCGCGCACGATGCCCTCGAGGTACGCCAGCTGCGGGAGGTGTTCGGAGCTGAAGTCGGCGGTTCCGATGACCCGGTCCATCTCCTCACGTGCTTTAGCCACCACGTCAGGGTTCCTGATGAGGTAGTAGACCGCCGTGGCGAGCAGGCATGGGGCGGTGCTGCTGCCGATGGGCATGCTGACCATCTCGTCGATGACCTGCGAGTCCGTCAGGCCCACGCCCGTCTCCGGGTCCTTGTGGCCCATCAGGGCGGTCAGGACGTCGTCGCGGTCCGTCGGGTTCTGACGTCGGTGCTCGACCAGGTCGGCTGCGTAGCTGCGCATCGCTACCGTGGCGCGCTTGAACTTGTTTCCGTAGACGAGGTAGTTGACAAACCCGGGACGCGTGGGCCGCATGACGGCTTCGGACGTCAAGTTCTCTATGCCCTGAATCGCGGGGTGCATCGGGCCCTCTAGGCAGTTGAGCTTCTTCCCGTACAGGGTGAGCGTCGTGACCTCGAGGCTCAGCCTGTTCAGCTCGTCCACCAGCGTCATCCTGCTGCTGGCTCCGATGCGGTTCTTCTTCCACTTGCCGATCATCTCGGCCGCCGTGTCGCGCATTTCGGCGAAGTGACCTGTCATGGTCTGCGGCGACAGCTTGGGCGCAATGATGCGGTGCGCGATGCCCCAGCTGTCCTCGTGATGAAAGGCCGTGAAGAGCGCGTCGTGAACCGCGTACCGAATCTCGACGATAGGCCCTCCAACGTACTTGCGGAAGCGCTTCTCGTTGCATACCTCCCCAGCGAGATCTACCCCGGCCACAAAGACGATCGTCTTCCCGAGGATGTTAACCTTGAAGATTTCACCGTGCTGCTCGGCGAGGTTCTTCAGGGATTGCCATGTGTTGCTCGGCTTGATGTCGAAGAGATTGCCCAGTATGGGCAGCCCGCGAGGCTGGGGGATCGGTTCGGACATGATGGTGACGGTCTCTCTTCTTCTGGCTTTTTTCTTTTCTTTCTTGTGCCTGATGATGTGAATGTCGAGAGAAAGCTTTTCTGTTGATTACGACGACTAGGCTGTCCCCCCCCTCTTCTCTCCTTTTCATCCTTTTCATCTTCTCCCTTCACCCTTTCCGTGCGAAAGGGCGGCACGATAGCGCCGTTGCGGTACACGTCTTATGACACAAGTGGTCAGCTACTCGCCTCCCTGTTGGTCACTACCCGTCTCTCAGCGGACTGTTTCATAAGCCTCCTCTCCCCATCGTAGGACCCGCAAAGATGCGCATCTCATAACAGAATTGCCCGTCCCACGAGCCGTCTACTTGCCGCCCTCATATGCATCAGGCTCTTGAACCAAGCATACGGCGAGGATATAATACGGGCACGTCCCATTGGCGTTGAGCGTAAGGATGAGTTGAGACATGTGTGACTGAGCTGGGACAGACGACCTATAGGCAATCTTCCGTGTGGATGTCTCAGACCATATGGAGGCAGTGGCACATCTCGTAATGAGCCCGGTCTAGCACATTGTTCGAGTTCCGTAGATGGCTAGCCCCTTGTGGAAGGGAATCGGAATCCGCTCAACAACTCATCTGCGGCTGTAGGGAATGATTCTCTTATGCTGGCCGTGGCAAGGACCGATAGGGAGAGCTACGATAAACTTGGATAAGGAGGCCAATATGACTGGTCCTCGACAGGCTCTGACCAGACATGTGCGGCTCGCGACTCAACATTGAAAACGGGCGCCGACAGAGGCCGGCAACGTGCCTACCTGGGGGAACCTATCCGTGATCAAGAGCGTTTGGCCTCCATAGCTCCGTCATCGTGTAACATTAATCAGTCGGTCGAATACGAATGTCTGCTAAAATAATCATCAAGTTGAGAACAAGTTTGACCATCACATGGCGATGATGGTGATGGAAATGATGACATAATATACAACCCACATTAGTCATCCCCGAAATCAGTCCAACGCGAACCCCTGACGCGAGACACTCTCCAAGTCGGAAGCTCAGACTGACGACAGATAATACGCCGTCGAGAAGACCGGCCGCAATCGCAATCGCATATCACCCGAGGTAAACTACAACTTGCCCCGACCTGCCCATCATGACGCGCGCTCAGCAAACCATCTCCTTCGGCCTGTTGGTATCATCTGTACGTTTTGCTAACCCGGCCCCCCTCCTCTCTGGCCTGTTGTGCCTGCTAACCTGTCTTGCCCGTCAGCTCTACCTCGTCCTCTATCTAGAGCTTATCCCTCTACCACCTTTTGTCCAGCAACAGATTGTCCCTCTGGTATGCTTCACCCCCTCTTATCTTCTCTCTCCTTTGGTGAAAAAAGATATCTTTATATCATTTCATGAACCCCCCCCCCCCAAATAAAAAACCCTACTTTCTGACAAGAAAACAATACAGCTCCCCTTCTGGGCTCTCGTCTCGTTTGGTGCCCTTCTCCTCTTCCGTCTCGGATACGGCATCTTCACCTTCAACGACGTCCCCGAGGCGCACAAAGAGCTCATGGGAGAGATTGAGCTGGCCAAAAAGGACCTCCGTGCACGCGGAGTCGACGTCGACTAAACGTGATTTGATTCCATCGATAATGGGGGGGACGTATGGCCGGTCAGGGGGGAGGCATATTGCTATGACGTCCGTCTGACGAGGTATAATTAAACAAAGAGATAAAAAAAACTGCCAAGAAAAAAAAAACATAATCGATTCATTGCAATGCTGGTGATGGTGATATATGCTTGAAACGAAAATAAAAAGGGGGATTCGTTCGTTCGTTACTTCGCCCATGAAAACGCCGACGCTTAATCATAAGAAAAAAAATCCAAACTCCTCTTTGCGCGTGAATCCCAACCGGAGAAATGTCAACAAGCAGATATGGATCACTCGCCGACCAGAAGCGCAATCACCTTGCGAACAGCTACGCTGGGCTCCTCTCCCCCTTCCACTAGATTCTCAAACAGTGACGGCAGTCGTCCGAATGCTCCCCTGGTGTCGGCTCGATGCCCTAGCAGCACAGGAGAGAGAAAGAGTTAGCAAACAGTAGACCTAAACTTGGAAATGGACAAATCAAGATGCTCACATTTTCCCGGTACCCCTACCATAACAGCCACCTTACTCTGCGCTTCGCCCGTCCAGTCAAACGTGATGGTCCACGTCAGACGTAGGGAGGACGGGTCGGCCTGTCCATGGGCAGCGGGAATCTCCAGATCAAACGACTGATGGTCCATGAAGTGCAGCAGATCCTGTCTGCTGACGGGTCCTGTCGATGACGACTCAGCTGCGTTGCTCCCTTCTCTGTCAACGCTGTCACCGTCCCTAGTACGCTTCGCCGGCCGTCTAGCACGCACCGTACGCCCCAAATCGAGGAGGCGCTTAGTGGAGCGCGTGTCTTGGCGCAGCTGCGCCCAGAAGCGGGCACGCCGTTCCGCGACACGCAGCCACTCGGCCATGGCCCAGGCCACAATGCCTACGTTGCGCTGCATGCTGCGGTTGCAGTCGGTGCCGTTGCAGATCCTGTCGAGGAACGCGGCTAGTTCCGGTCGCGCGGCGGGCTCGAGGGCCGCCACGTCGAGTTTCTGGATGCTCATCTTGATGGCGTCGACCACCACGTCTACACGCGCGCTGAACAGACCGGGACAGTGGCGCGAGCGGAGCTGGATGGAGAAGAGCTGCCGGAGGGGCTGGTCACGTGCGCGGGGGAGAGTGGTGAGAGAGGGCGTTATGTCGAAGGGGGTGAAGAGCTGCAGGAAGGGGAGCTCCTCTTCGGCTGTCATGATGACGGGATGGTGCGACTTGATATCCGATATGTCGATGCCGTCTGTATCGGTGGGCACGGCCGACGTCGCTGTCGCCTTTCCGAATCCCACAATGGCCATGGGATCTAGCGCAGCCTTGGCAAGCAGACGGGAGGACTGCTGCGTCGGTTGAGAGGCGTCATCTCCGTCCGTCGACAGATGTCGCCTGATAATGTCGGCGACCTCGTCTTCGTCCGTGAGGCCCACCCGCCGCCCAGACGTCTGAATGGCACGTATACGCTCGTTCTGCCGCGTTGTCACGTCGAGGTCCCTCCGCAGCTGGGCCAGCTCTTGGCGCAGCGCGTCTCTCTCCCTCATTCTGACCGTGTCGGTGCTGCGGGCTGGCAGGCGACGCACGTTATCCGTCGTCTCGGCCAGGATCGCACCGCTCAGCCGACTGGGGGGCGGCTGTGCCTTGGATGGTGCCGCGCCCCCAAACAGTTTCCGCGGCGTGGCGTTGGTCTCCTCGGTGGGTTCCGGATCAGGTCCGGGGTACGACGGCGGTTGCTTAAGCGGCGATCCAGCCATTGTAGTACCGGGCCTGTTTCGCGATTTCCGCCGCGAGGGACTGCTGCTAGTGTGGATCCCGCGAGGCGGCGTAGACGAGACGGGATCGTTCGCAGATGGTGGCAGTTCCGGCTCCGGCGGAAGGGGGATGTTGACGCCCGTCCGTGGTGATCTCCGCAGCGTGCGGCCAGCAAAGGGGTTGAACTCGTCGTCGCCCTCGGGCGCCGGCGGGGGGAGTGGGCGCGGATTTTGCCTGGCGGGGGATGCAGGCAAGGGTGCAGACGGGCCCGCTGCAGAGGACTGCATTCCTGCTCGTGCGGTCGTCGTTGTTCGAGTGATAGTCTGTTGTTGTTGGCCCTCGTCGGCGTCACTCGCAGGGAGCTCGCGGACGGCAGCAGATGGACGGCGCGTGGGACTGGGCGGCTTAGGTGGCGATGCGGATCTTCGCCGCTCAAGTATCTCGGGGTTCCAACGCGACATGCTTGCTTTCGTAGGCGAGGCCCATGACGGGCGTTTCGATCTTGGTTGTCGCGGTGAAGTCGGTTCGAGGCTGCTCCTGTGGGTCGTCGCGTCTTGTCGGTCGTCGTTACTTGGCGAGGTGCGCCGTCGTTTTGGTGCAGACTCTTCCATGTCAAGTTCAGTACTATTCGTTTTGTGAAAGACCTAAAGTATTCGACATGTCTGCCAGCAGAGGAAGGAATTTACAGCCTGAGCCAGTATAAGTGACTATCGAAAAAAATAATAGATAATGATACGAGGCACGTTGGAGCTTGTAAGCCGCGTCGGAGATGGATGGATTGTGGGGGGGGGGGGAGACTAAGCCACTCAAAACGGTGGCGCACGCGTCAAAGAGGCTCGCGGAAACATTGAGCCAAACAGACAAGTGGGCCTCACCGCCTGCCTTGTTGGTCAACGCGTTTTGGCCGAAACGGCACCATATCGAGTAATGGTCCATGGAAGAGCCGCCAACAAAAGGTTGTACCTGTACGTAACGACATGATAAGTCGTATGACGTTGATGAAGCTTTGCTTTCATCGTGAGGCCGATCATATGTTGACTCTGCTCTTCAATCCAGTAGAGCTCATTCCATCTTTCCCTCTCTATCCTCCTTTATTCATTGAGCAGCCTGCCAAGCTGTCATGGTGGATTTCCCTCCCCGGATAATGTCACATGACCCATTACCAATCCAATGACGCGCCTTGTAAACCCTTTGCCGCTTATTTTTCCCGACGTCATCACTGAACCCTCGTATCTTCGTTTTACATGCTTATTTTCTTTTCCCTCTTCGGTGCGCCCAACCCATGCCGGAACCTTGCAGATACCAGACGACATCGTGACCGAATGTGTCTGTTATAATACGAACCTGTCTATACAACGCACAGACAAGATCCTCGTAGGACCGAGAAATGTCGCTCTCCCCTAGAGTGCTGGCCCCTCGGCTACGGCATCTCGGCCGTGCCGTCCCCGCCCGGCGATGTTTCATTGCGACACCCAGGCGAGACGACGACAAGAAGTGGCCGCAGCGCACGCCGATAGGCGAGTACTACGAAAGCATAGCAAACTACCCGATACCGTACGGGTCGACCAAGAAGCCCGAAGCGCCGACCAGCTCCACAGACCCCAAGGCTCTCTCGGTTGAAGGGAAGCCGGCTACCGACGAGAGGATAGATACACCAGCGCCCAAGACGGCCGCACCTGCAGATCATGCGCCGGCCAGACCGAAGCCGAAACGGAAGCTGCGCATATCGTCAAAGGCAAAGCTTTCCAGGCCCACAGCAGAAGTCGCCGACACCACGGGCGACAAGGCCTCCCCCAAGGCAGCAGCAGCAGCAGCACCGCCGCCGCCTACGCCAGAGCCCGAGCGCGAAAAGACGCCCGAGGAAAAAGCCCGTATAATCTTCGGAACGCGTCTCGCCGGCCCCGAAGACCGCGCAGCCCACTTCGCCACGCGCAAGAACCGGTCGACCACCATCGCCGGGGTCGTGGTACCGCCCGAGCCCGAGGAACCCGACAACTGCTGCATGAGCGGGTGCGTCAATTGCGTGTGGGAGATGTACCGCGAGGATATGGAGGAGTACCGGGCCGCCAAGTCCGAGGCGGACAGGCGCCTGGCGGCCCAGAAGCAGCAGGAGTCGGGCTCAATGGATGATGACGGCGGTGGCTCGGAGTCCAACTGGGCTGAGCCATCGCCTCAAGCGGTCGAAATTAACGGCAAAGCCAAGATATCCAACGACATGTGGGATGACGACCTATTCCACAATGTTCCCGTCGGTATCAGGGAGTTCATGAAGCAGGAGAAGAAGCTGAGGGAGAAGCACGAGAGGGAAGGTCGAGCATGATCTTCTCCGGGTACACTTATCCTTCTTTCACATATTTCATTTTAGCCACAAAAGCAGTGTTGTCCACAAGATAGAACCTAGACGGGAGGCATTAGAAAGACGGACAAGAATCCCAACCCTTACCTCCCCGGAGATTCACATACCATACTCATGCCACCAGAACGCCGTGCTTCTCCCCTCGCATAATGCAGTCTCAACTTGCCTATCACGTCGCGACACGGAGCAGCTTGGGTATCAACCCCACGCCTCCGCAGATGCAAGCTCACCTGAGTGCAGAAGTAACCGCAAGGCAGAGTCTTGCGAAACGCTTCACGGTCCAGCAAAACGATCCGATGGTACAGAGCCTCTTACGCGCGCGAAACGTGATAAATGCAGCATGTTCACATACGGCAGTGATGTCGTCAATCGTCCTCTATGAAACGTCATTCATCTCGCCCACAGCGAGGCCCTCGCAGGGAAAGTCTATCTAATGCAAGCGGAATCCCAAGATCTCTCCAGAGTTGCTAGCACGGTGTAGCAGACCGACGCGGGAGCGAAAGGGGCCTTGGCAGCCCTGGCAGCCCTAGCAGAAGTGAGGCGGTTCGGAGACAATGTTTGCCAGAGCTTGTTCTGTTCTTATTCACCATGTACTTTTTCCATTACGGCGCTGTACTCCTCCGCTCGTCGATTCTCATGCAAAGTGAACTTGGTATCCTTCTTCAGTATTCGACAGACGACGTCGGGGGGAGTTAGCCCTGCGTCGTTGATAATCATGTAAGGTATGTTGGTTGGCAAATCACTTGGGAGAAAGATGATCCGTCTGCTCGATTTCGTCCGAGGCTATGGCGTCGAGTGCGGCGGGGTCGTGCTCGAACATGGTTCCGCGGCATTTATGTGGACGTGGATACGGAAGGATGTACGGTTTACGTTGCTTTACGCTTTATTTATCGTCTATAGTAATATATATTGGAAGGGGGACAAAAGAAAAACTCTCGTTTAACGCTCTCGGCGGAGGAGGATCGGATGGCGGAGGGAACAGATAAAATGGGAAAGCAAGAAAAACGCAAGCGCCTGTGGACAAAGGGCTGATGCCGATCGCCCTTTTTTTTGTCCTGTCTCTCTTCTTCATTACCAGGCACTCTTTTACGCAGAGAGCTGCTTCCTGGCGTTCTCGTCATGCTCTTCAATGTCGATGGCCTCCCAGGGGTAGCAGATCCACTCGTCGCCGACGGTACGGGCGGCCATGTAGCGACCGGAGGAGAGCATGTCGTTGGGGAGGATGCCCTTCTTGGTCTTGTCCTTGTTCTGTAGGGGAGTTAGTCGATGAAGATGACGAGGGATAGATTGTAATAGATGGCAGGGATCGTTGATGAAGGTGCTTAGGGTGAGGGGAAATGAATGGTAGACCGTTATGATAGAGATGGCGGCAAAAAGAAAACTCTTACGTGAAGAACGAAGATGGAAAACTCGGTCTTGGGCTGATTGCCGCCGAGGCTGACACGCGCAGCCTCGACATCCTTCTCGAGCTCCTTGACGGCGTACTCGAGCGTGGTGCGGGTGTCGTCCACCTCGTCGACGATGAGGATGCGCTTCCCGACCAGGTTCTTAACCTCACCGAGGGCCGTGAGGTCGAGCCACTGGGTGCGGGTGACCTTTGTTCCGGGAGCCTCGACGTCCTTGTCGCCTGAGCCGTCGCCGAGAGTCTCGTAGAGCGAGAGTCCGATGGCCTGGATGGGGATGTTGGGGCTACCGGGCTTCTTGAGGAACGACCGGAGGATGCGGGCTGGAACGTAGCCACCCCCGCCAATGGCAATCATCAGCTGGGGCTGCCAGTCGGCAAGGATCTTCTCGGCTGACTCCTGGCACAGCTTGTGCACATCGTTGTACGTGACGTATAGTTTTTGGACCATGGTGGGCGATTTGCTTGTGTTTCGAGAGTATAGAGGGGGGTCGATGAGGATCAGAGGGGGGGTGTCGAATGCCGATGTCGTCGTTGATCACGGGGGAGGGGGGAAGGGTCTAAAGAGGATGGTAGAATAAGAATAACAAAGTGAGGGTGGTGATGATGGGGGGAAAGGTTTCGACTGTGCTTGGTGGTCGATTTTTTTTGTCTTCTTTTTTTTTTCTTTGCCCCTCCCCCTCCTTCCCTTTTGGTTTTGCCCCGCGATTTGTCGATCCTATTAAACTCTCAGAGCTACACGCTTACTTTTCTTTCCTTTCCCTCTCTTTTTTTTTTCTTCTCTTCTCTCGTTGCTTCCTCCCCTCCCCACTTGGTTCGTCTCTATTTTCATTCCGGCATTAGACCACATTCATTCTTCCAATGGTAGTGGGCCTTTGACGTGTGGTCCGATCCACATGGGCGGTTGAGACCGTCGGAAGTCGCCGATGGGACGCTGGACCACAGGAAACTGGATCATGCGTTGACTCAATTGGGACCACTGCCAAACGAGATCATAAGAAGCCGGAATCACGATGAAGTGGGGATGTGCTTGCTGTCTTTGATGCGCAGTCTGAACAGGCAACGACAATGGGTGTAGATAGGCCGGGACAGCACTGGGCTGGCCACGAGCCAACTTGGGTGGCATCGAAGTCGGCTCGATCAACATCCGACATGGGCTCCAATCATCACTCTTGATGGCAGCGGATGGGCTATTGTCAGAGGTGGTGGCGCAAATTCAGCTGCTGCACCGCTAGTTGGGTTGTGGGAGAGAGCATCCAGAAAATGGCCAAGTCCATCGGACCAGGTTTAGTATCGGGGTCGGTATGACGATGACATGGGCCGGACATCACCACGGTTTGAGCCGGGCATGGCCAACGGGGCCGGATAGGGTTCATAGTCGGGACCGAGCAAGGCTCCTCCTCGGGGCCTCAGGTAAACCTGGTCGCTCTTCGGTGAAACGTCCGTTTGGCAGCACCTAGAGTAGTATGTCAATATAAAGTTCGACAACAAGTAAACAAAAAAACAACAAACCTGACATGAGTGGTGATGAACTCTTTCTCCCAAGGAAAAAAAAAGAATGGAGAGAAATTGACACCCGCTGCATCCCTCCCTCATCAACAGTGTGGTATGAGTTGGAGAACGAGCCACATCCGATGAGGGATCGTCGTTTTCGTGTCTTGTTGATTCTTCCATGCTTAGAGGACGATATGTCCACGGTACATGACAGCCTGAACGGCCAGTTCGTGTATATCGCTGACATCTTCGTAGTCGTAATCCGCCTTGCGTTCGAGACCGTGGCAGTAGTGTTTGTAGCAGACCTTGAGCCAGGCGACCTTGATTTTGATGGCCGCCGACCTGAGGATGTTGGCGCAGTCACCATTTTGGGAGCTCGAGCCCAGGAGCTCGTCGGTCCTCCGCTTAACCTCCTCCTCGGCCCTAGTCTTGGCGTATCGCTCGCGGCAGCGGATGAGCCTGCGCGTTATGTCGACCATCATGTAGATATGTGATAGGGCGTCGGAGTTGCCGCTCACGCGCTCGCCAGGATCGCACTGGAAGGTGAGCATGGCCATGCCCTCGGTCACCATGTGGTATTGGCCCTTGACGACATGGATCACGTCCCCGACGGGGGCGTAGGGACCGGTGTTGGGGTTGAAGCGACCGAGGGGACCGATCAGGTTCTTTGGACTTCGAGCATTGATGCCCATTCGAGGGTATCTGAAGGATAAATGGATGTTTGCTGATGGCGTCGAGGGACAGACACGCCTCGGTTGCGGTTGCGTTTGAGCCATTGTCGATGTGTTTTCTTTCTTCATCGGGAAAGGGAAACCCACAAAAAGTACGATGAGTATATAATAAAGATGCGGATGAGAGATCAAGGTAGTTTATATGTCCTCTTATCTGATGATGGGCGTGCCATGTTGTTGTCGTTGTTGCTGATGGTTGACGGTCGGTGATGATGCGTGTGTCTTGCGGCACCAGGCTGACCAGGATGTTGGTAATCGGGTATGTAGAATGGATGGATGGGAACCGACTTCTTCGAGAGTCTCCCGAAATAAGGGGGTATAAGCAGGCGAAGGGTGAAAACTTTCCAGCATCGCACTTAGTAAACCGAACAAGCTTCCGGTCGCCAAAGGGAAGTTTCATCGTGAGATGCTTCATCGGCCAATGTGAATTCTGGTCATGGGAGCAGTTTGTTGCCATCGAGCCAACAGCCAGTAATATTGCACAATACAAGCCTCTTGGACGACGATGGAAGCTGCAGGAAGTAGCTCAGGATAGAATGTGGAAAGGTACAAGGCAGAGGAGGGTATGTTGAGAATAAGGAGTGATTGCAAGATTTGGATACTTGGGCACCTCCCCGAGCAAGGCAGAGGCACAGTTTTTGGGGTGGGGTCAATGTGTATGTATGACTTGTTTGATTCAACATTGTAATAGTAAAAAAAAAAAAAAAGACTTCGACGCAGGCGCATGCTAGTGATAGTAGATATATTCCCTTTTGTATGCAAGACGTGACGTAGTAGATGAGAATATGAGATGAAAACCCCGTTCTCTTCTTAGCAGCTCCTAGACAGGCGGGCTCAGGTCCATAATCTCTTGACCCTGGGCGAGGTCGGCGTAGCTGTAGGCCTTGGACTCGGGGGGTAGGGTGCCGTCGGCGGCCCAAAGATTGATGAGGGGCCTCATGGGCTCAATGTCCTCGGGAAGTAGCAGGTCGAGCTGGGTGGAGGTGAGGATGAAGTGGCTGAAGCAGCTGTTGAGCTGCTTCTCGAGGTTGAGGCGGTAGAAAGGTTCGAGGAAGTGATCCCAGTACAGGTGGGCGTAGACGCGAAACATCTGCAGGAAGATGGTGCGGCAGATGCCCACGAATTCGCGAGGGAAGCCGCTGCGACGGCCGATCCAGTCCTCCGAGTCTCCGTTGGTGGCCTCGGTGCCAGCCCCGGGCATGGGAGCGTTGGACACGGAGGCAGGGTCGGTCGGGAATATGGCGGTGTCGTCAATCTTGCCCGAGATCCACCGCTGCATCAGCGTCATGTACTCGTACGCGGGGAGCTCGATGGGCTCGTGGCGGCTGTTGAGCCACGTGTACGAGTGGTAGCTGGGGCTCCGGTCAGTCTCTCAGTCTCTCACTTTCTCCTCTCGGATCCATGCTGCCCACGACTCACCTTCCAGCAGACATCTTGGGACAGCCGGACCGGTTGCAGATGGTCGAGCCATCATCCTCCTTTTCAAGAACCACACGCACAAAGTTCCACAGGACACGATAGTGCTCGATAACTTGACGGGCACGGAATGTCAGCAAAATTTGTTCCCCGCTTCGGGAGTGAGGTTTCTTCTCTTGCCCGCTTACCCTGGTGACCTATCCACTCCCCCTGGTCGACGGTCTTGGGCCTCGTGCTGAGAGTCATAAAGTTGCCCTTGACAATGTGCTTGGCACAAGCACGGTTAAGCCAAGCAGGCAACGGCCGAGGCCACTCAGACACAGGCCCGTTGTAGATGAGAGGGGCTCCGGGACCGGCCGCAGTCGGCGTCACGGAAGGGGAAGGGCCTCCGGAGGACGAAGCTGCTGGCGCCTGTGAGGGACCCTCGGAGCCAGGGCCAGGGCTCCTGCCACCACTCCGACTAGACGAGCCGCGGAGACGGGCATTACTGTCATCCATTGCAAAAGAAGGATATTCTTAGAAAAAAATGGTTCGGATGATGAGATGTAGAAAGGGGCAATAAGAACCTACATGCCAGAAAAGAGGTTCGACATGATTCCTGCCGGGGAGGGGGGTGTCTGCTCTTTTTGAAAGCTGGTGAAGCTGTCAAAATGATAATCATATGGAGGGGTTGTCTGAGCTTCAGCGGTTGGGCGGTCAGTAAAAGTCGGCCGACTTTAGGGGGGGCCCTACGAGGCCTGGCGGCGGGGGGTAGGGGGGAAGGAAGCACCAGTGCGATAGAAGGCAGCTGGCAGGAGCAGGAGCCCCAAAGAATGGCTCAAACGGTAGCTGGCAGTTGAAGCTCTCCTGGAGGGGGACCAGTGAGGGGGAGGCATTAGGGGTCTAGGTCCCCACTGCACAATAGGCACTGCGCTGTATCAATACCCAGTACGGGGTATTCGCTCCCTACAATACGAGTAGGCGCTGGGGGATAACGAGACAGTGGCCACCTACAGGCTATGGCCCAGCTGGTCATGACGGCAGGGTGGTAATAATACTACCGCTCTTCACCGCCTGCTATTGTCGTCCAGAGAAGTTTTTCCCTCTGGCTGGTTTCCGTCCTTTTTTCCCCCCTTCTCTTCTTCATCTTCATCTTTACCCTGAACAACATCAATTTACGGTTTAAAATGTCCCTCACTAACTTGCACAGAGCCTCCATACATCGATATGATCATCCAGCCTATTCTCACGTGTCCTCGGACCACTGCATTGTCATGCAACGGGACGTCCTCGCCGCCGAGCATGCACTCGGTACCATACATTTTCTCCAACTCCCATCCGCGGTCAGCTCGTATCACGACGGTTCCAGGACCTGAAGAGGGTTGACCATAGGCCCGCGTTACTCTTCCGTGTACAAGTATACGAGATGCGTTAGGCTAGAGAAGCTGTCGTGGACGTGGACACGTGTGTGCCACCGAGTCTTGGGGGCCGGGACTGGAGGACCTACGCGCACAATCGACCGTTTTGAAATACAAACTGGCAATCAGGGAAATCCGGACAAGCAGTTTCGGTTCCATTATTGTGAAGAATCTCCAAGCAGCTTCCAGGCAAGCCAAGGACCTGAGCAGATAAAAGAAAAAGAGTGGTCGATGTTGTGTGCCCCGCTTTTCCCGGACCCGCGCCAACACAAAATTTCTAGAGGCTTCCGTCTAAACCACACGGACCTTTTAACACTGCTCGACCCCAAATACTGACCATTGCCCATTTATTCTTCCCTCGTCTTCCCTCTCTTCTCTCTTCAGTATCTCCCACCCTTCTCTATCCCCTCTGTTCTCGCAACTGCACTGCGTTCCTTGTCGACCCCTCTCCCAGCGGCATATCAGTTTGCTGTGTCTTCCTGTACTATTGGTAAGCCTTCAACTCTTCTCCTCTCCGCGCTGCCCGCATCCTCAATTGCAATCAGAATGATGAAACACCAGCTGGCACCAGTCATAGAGTGAACTTGTACTCCCTTCGATGATGACAGCATGCTGTGGCTCTAATAGCCATCCTGATTCTATTGCAACCTTCCTTTTTCTTTCCTTCACAGCTCATACGCACTTGGCCTTTGTTCTTGTCGCTAACCAGGCCCCCAGTTCTAGGAACATCACATCTGCCTCCCATTCCGACCGGCCACCCGCTCCTGTCGTCGCCATGGTCCTTCACAACCCCAACAACTGGCACTGGGTCAACAAGGATGTGTCCGAGTGGACACGTCAGTGGCTCAACGACAACCTGACCAAGATTGAAGCCAAGGAGGGCGACGTCGAGGTCAAGATCTCGTCTGTCCAGACCATGGATGGCGATGTCGACGTCAGCCAGCGCAAGGGCAAGGTCATCACAATCTTTGACGTGAAGCTCGTTCTCGAATATTCTGGTAATCCTTCTCCCGTGTCCAACCCCAGTGGGGGGTTATCGAATACCAATTCCACATGTAAAAGAAAAAAGACGGGCAACTAACGCCTATCATCGTAGGGTCTGCTCCCGATGCTGCTGATGTGTCGGGCACCATCACTGTTCCCGAGATTGCCCACGACACTGAGGAGGACGAGTATGTCGTATGTGCAACACCAAACTCTCGACGTAGACTGTTTGTTCCCCAATCTCGGCGCACTAACTCCGCTGTCTTTGTAGTTTGACATAGACCTCTTCTCCGAGTCCAAGGAGAAGCAGCCGGTCAAGGACCTCGCCAAGTCCAAGCTGGTGCCCCAGCTGCGCTCGGCCTTCCAGAAGATTGCCCCGACGCTGATAGAGACGCACGGCAAGGAGCTCCAGCACGCCGCGGACGCCGACCCATCCAGGAACTTCCCACCCGCGAAGACACMCCCGCAAAAGGGCAGCGAGACGGTCAGCCAGTCGACGTCCTCGTCGGCCCAGAAGACGGGCTCCATCGTCAACACCACGACGGTGACGGACCAGCAGGAGTTCCGCACCACGGCCGAGGAGGCCTACAAGACGTTTGTCGACCCGGCCCGCATCGCCGCCTTCACGCGCGCCCCACCCAAGCTGTTCGAGGGTGCCCACAAGGGCGGAAAGTTCGAGCTTTTTGACGGCAACGTGGCCGGCGAGTACGTCGAGCTCGACGAGCCCAAGCGTCTGGTGCAGAAGTGGCGCCTCAAGCAGTGGCCAGCCGGCCACTACTCCAGCCTCCGCATCGACTTTGACCAGAATGACGTCGACCATGTTACCGTGATGCGCGTCACCTGGGATGGCGTGCCCATCGGCCAGGAAGAGGTGACCAAGCGCAACTGGTCCGAGTACTACATCAGGAGCATCAAGCAGACGTTTGGCTTCGGCACGATTCTGTAGATGAGAGAATGGTTCCAAGAAAGAAAAGAATGAAGAGACACGAAAGAAAGTACACTCTCTATACGGGAAGAGGGAATATTAATATGCGTCTTGGTTTCAAAGGCCTAGAAGCGTGCTGATGTAAATTCATTTTCATAAGATGGCGAAAGGAGAAGAAAAACGAACATGACGATGACATGGTTCTGGAACATGCTGTTGCTAAGATGCAAACTTTGTGTGTAAACTTGCCATGGCAAAGATGAGAGGCCAGTGTATTGTATGTCCAAAGAATAATATCACATGCATTGCGTATAATACAGCTGAAAGAAGAATAAAAGAAAAAGAAAAAAAAAGGAAAGAAGGGGTGCCTATCGTATGAAGTGCTAGTGATGCCATCTATGGCGGATGAGCAACCAGCCTATTCCTCCTTTCACCAGCCCACGGTCCATTACTCCTATGTGACCTCTCCGCGTCGGACACATCCATCTTGCTACCAAAGGCATAATCCTTGATGAATATGTCCCTCAAATTATCCCAAAATCCAAGATCGTAGACATTCTCCACGTCGGCCAGGCTGCGTATAGGTTCCCAGGGGCCCTCCCCGGGAATGGTACCCTGGCCCTGTAGCGTATTGGGCGGGCGGCCATCGGTCGTAGTGACAAGTATATGATGAGGCTGAGCGGGCCAGCGCGACCACCCTGGGTCTCCGGGCACTGAGCGTCTCTGGTGCTGGGGCAGGGGCCGCGAGAAGGCGTACCCGTCGCGCACGTCCTCCTGGAAGTCGGACCACTTGAGCGACTCGTTGGTCGTGGTGCCGAGGTAGATGAGGTACAGGGTGTAGAGGAGAAGACCCCATATGAGCGGGGAGGTGAGCAGGGACAGGAGGGTGGCGGCCCCGAGGCCGGAGTAGGCGCGGATGGCGACGGCGAACAAGGCGCACCACCTGGTCCACGACAGCGTGGAGCTCAGCGGCCAGGCGGACCAGCCCGGGTGGTGGACACGTATGTCGGCCGAGAGGATGGACATACCCAGCAGACCGCCGTAGGCGGTGAGCACGGCCGTCGACAGCAGCAGCAGCACGAACCAGTGGTGGTTGCCGTACCCGACGCACCCGTTGATGAAGATGCAGTGGTGGTCCGCGCGGGCCACGCACCGCTTGCACAGGCTGCAGTGCTTGGACCGTGGTGGCTTCGGTAGGTCGCACGTCCGGCAGATGCGACCCGGATGGAATATGGCGTAGTCGTACGGGTACAGCGACATGTGATAGTCTACCGTCTCGCCCGTCACGTAGCCCGGGTCCGCCGCGCACGCGAGCCACAGGAACACGTACGGGAGCACCACGGCCACGCTGCTCGTCAGACGTGTCAACCCGCTCATGACCGGCCAGGCCGTCGGGAGATAGGCTAACTCTCCGCCTACGAGGATTGCCGCGAAGAAGATCTGATTGCGTGTCAGTATCTGTTCTTTTCCCGCGAGGGCGGTGAGGCGAGGGGAGGTGACATACCACCACTGTCGGGTGTCGGTCATATAGCATGTGACGTCCGAACCGCACTAGATGTCTCGAAAGCTTGCCTGATGTGAGTCTCTGGTCCAGGGCCAGCAGCCCGTTCGGTAGGTGAACCCATATGGCACGGTGCAGAGCGGAAATGGGTGTGTTTCTGTATACACGTCAGAGGGTTTTTTTTATTCGTCAACAACCCTGTTGTCCTCTTGCACGGTTCCTCTATCTGGAACTGACCTCAACGCAGGCAGTCGTCCAAAAAAGGTGACAAAGGTCATGAACGATATGAGCAGTATCACGCCCACGACCGTCCCTAGAGTCCCCATGGTTTCAAGAAGAAGTGAAAGCGTGACCTGATGGCAAGGACCGCCCGGCTGTGCCGCAAAGGATGTCGAAAAGGAAGAGACGATTTCATCTACGTCGGGACGGCGTGGGTGGCGGGAACCGTCAGGTGTAGAAAAGGGTGAACTAGATCCTCACCAACGGAGCATGGCGATATACGAAGAGAAAACCGGTGGGAGAAATATGTGCAAGCCGAAGAAGAAAAGAAATGGCAAAGCGGTCTCCCTCTAGGACAGGAATTTAAGGCGCGTGAGCCGCCTTACGTGGGAGCAGGCCAGTCTGATCACCAAGCTTGGGTGGATGATTCGGGGATATGCATTTACAGGGTGGGATATGATTGTTATATTATTACGTGCATAATGTATCGACCACAATATGGTAGTATATTAGATACAAGAATAGTACTAGCCTACCGAGTAGCCGACTTTCGTTATTCAACAACCAGACAATACGTGCTTTTTCCCACCAACCACTAGGAATTCAATGTAATACCACAATGCAACGATTATGTTGATAGGATTAGTGGGGAGAGACGCTAGCCTTTAGGGAGTTGATGGGGGCTAAGAAGAAGAATGTCCCAGGAAGGAAATCGCACCTGTCTGTAAATACAGTATTAACATAATTTGTCAAGTGCGGCATGTGTGAGATCTCAGATGGGACAGCTCCTTCCCCTTCGGGGCAAACATTGCTGTTTGTCCGTGCTGAAAACACTCTGCAGGTACACCCTCATTCTCCGCCTAGAAATATCTTGGATGGCGATTATATGAGCATTATCGGATGTTCTTTATTGTTGTGTGTATTTTATTTTACTTGGATTGTTATAGAGTGAGCGTCCATTCAGGAAGAAATCGGCTTATACTCACAATACTCGCTCGCACCGTACCCATGTTCATTGGCTGCGCATATATATAAATGGGTCATATGCCATTAGAGCCCAGATCCACGTGATATCGCGCCGAGCATCATCACGCGTCTCTAGACTCAACTCTTCGTCACCATCAACGGCATCATCCCTCTAGTGCACTTGATTTGATTCCGAATGGAATCGGCGCAAGCTGTAGCTTAGAAGCGCTTCCGGTATTTTCTTCCTGCTCTGCCTTTCCTTTTCTTTCCGACTTATGTCACTGACATTTTGCTTCACTAGCGATTGGCATTAGCGCTTGAGTCTCACGTCTCACGCGTACATGAACAGAAGCGGTACATATACACGTATACCGTCTCTCACTGCAGAGACATCGCCAAGATGAACAGCTCGGGTAATGATGTCCCGTCCATCTTCCAAGGAAAGAAGTTCTGGCTCTCAACGCTACTTCCCATGAAGGACCACTTCAAGGCGCTGGTCACGGTACTTCTGCCCTCTCTACTACTTTATCTGAGCTGAGAGCTGGGCTGACATCTATCGCGCAGAATAACGGCGGCAAGGTGGTCTATCTCGAAAAAGATGCCGATATCCTGATTGCCGATCCCATAAAGAAGAATAGGGCTCCAGCTGGGGCGTGCTCCTATAAGCTCATTGAGGATTCGGTCAAGAACGGCGCTCTCCAGCTTGAGGACAGATTCCTCATCGCCCCCAAGATTGGCGAGACGACGCCCCGTCAAGCCGGCTCGTCTATACCCACGAGGAAGCACCGTGTACCTTTCACCCCGCAGGATGATGCCATTCTCGCTAAATGGGTTCTCTCTCACCCCGATGCCCGTACAGGTAACATTTTATATCAAGAGTTAGAAACCATTGTATGCCCGCCTTGTCCTTCGCTGGGGTTGAACACACATCGCCGCTGACCTCTGATACAGAATTCACGACATACGTGGCAGTCGTGGAGGAACCGATGGGGGAAGGATCTGAGCAGACGGCCCATGACCCGACTCAAGGAAATTGCTAGCTCGGCCAAAGATCTACAAATTCCGGGTGCAGACAATGATCAGGAAGCCAGGATATCAGCTACGGGAGTCCGTGAGGAGACCGAGGCAAAGCCTGAACCGTCGCCGGGGTCACAGCAAACCCCCGTGCAGCAAGAAATACAGCGGGCTCGAACCCGAGCCAGAGCTCGGGCAGAGTACCAAGCACGAGCCCAAGAACAGCAAGGGCAAGGGCAAGGTCAATCCCAAGGTGAAGAAATAGCGCGTCAGGGCAAAGCCCCGGATCCGAACCAAACCTATGAGGAATTGCAAGAACATGAGGTTGAAATGCCGCGGGAGGCAACAGGGCAGGAGGTCGCAAGCAAACCAAAATCACCGACAAGAGCTCAGACAGGACAGGAACCCGAAGATGCACCAGGTCAAGACGAAGCGGTCCGTGATGAGGATGAAGAGGATAGATACCGCATTGCACTAGAGCAGTTCACCGCCGACATCAAGGCATTTTCTCAGCAGCGGGGAATCGACATTGAACTGAGGCCTGTCGTCGGTGGGCGGACCATTAAACTCTTTGACCTCGCTCGGGCCGCCGCCACATATCAGGATGAGTCGTCCGAGAACATTGACTGGGACCAAGTCGCTGCCGAACTGGGCTTTGGTGAGGGCCCGAGCGACGTAGCGATGCTTCTCGCTGTACACTACAAGAACAGCCTAGAGTCCTTTTTCGATGCCATGGCTCAGCATGACGACGATGACGATGATGACGACAAAGACAAAGACAACAACAATAACAACGGCAACGTCCCTCAGGCTGAAGAAGAGGAAGACGATGACGAAGACGCGTTTGAAACCGCCCCGCAAGGCTTAGTACGAGACAGCCCTGCTCTGACGTCGCCGGGCAGTAGAAAACGCACAGTCTACTCGGAGCCGCCGTCTACTCGCAACAGCAAGCGCAAGAGGCTGTCGGAGATCCCGTCGACACCCGACGACGCCCTGCGCGTCACGCTCAGGCAACAAAATACCCCCTCGGCCACGAAGCGCCAACTTTTCCCCAACGCCGAGGTCAAAGACAGCCAGGACGACACCCAGGCCACGCTGTCAGGCCCCGGCCGCACCCGGGTGGAAGTTCAGATCAGGACGCCGCGCCGCGCCACGCTAGACACACAGAAAACCTCTCTTGATGTGACGCCCTCGCAGCAGCTCATGGAAGAAGCCCAAGCCCTGACCAGCCCTGCCGTCCCATCTCCCGTCGCATTCCCCAACTCAAGTCCTGCACCGCAACGCCATCGCCTCCCAGACTCGAACAGTACGCCTCGTCCCAAGAAGGCCAAGCGCCGTACCCTCCCGGCGTCATTCCGCGCCTCAACACTGGAGCAGCCACAACGCTACAGCGACGACTCGGACAATCCCTTTGAAACCCCCGACATAATGGACCTTAGCAACACCGTTCCAAACCCCACCCATTCGAGGAGGCACACCCCCGATCTGCAGACGATACAGGGTTGGGTAGAACACTACCAGTCCCTAGGCTACAGCCACTCCGTCGTCGTCCAGGCCCTCGAGGCGACAACAATAACGCCAGGCGGTCCGGCGACCCACGCCATGGAGGCCCTCCGGTCGGGCCACCCCCTCCCCCCAAACCACGAGGGCGTGTGGACGGACCGGGATGACGCCTCGTTGCGCCAGGTCCTCGCGGCGGGCATCAGCGGCCCCCTCGATAGACGACCTGTAGACGACCACGATAGACGGTCTCTGCGCACCGCGTCAAAGGAGCTCTCCCGGTTGCAGTTCAAGCACGGCGGCAACGCCATCACTCTCAGGGCGCAGTTCCTCGAGGCAGTCGATAGACAAGATCTGGATCAGGAATGATGGACGTCTCCGGTATGGCTCTATCAATGTTGGAGTATATACTAGTAGTGTTATGGAATGATCGATTCAGAAGCATGGCTTCCTGTCCATTTACCTCGTCACTCTTACTTTTGAGAACAATGCGTAATGGTTCTACAACTCAATCTCCATTCTACTATTGTAATGTTTATATAAACTCCATGTTTTGCTCCCATTTGTTATCGTAAGATGTGACTATAGAGTAGTACTATAAGATGGGGAAAAAAGACGTGTGAAGAAAAGAACGAGAAACGCCCAGAATAAAATCTCCCATGGTATCGAACCCAGTTGTATGAAATCTTGAAACTCCTTTTACCCATGCGAGGAAGAAAAAGAAGAAGCAAAAAAATAAGGAGAAGACGAAGACTCAATATGGCCCATGTGCAATATTAACCTCCCCACCCAGTTGTATTCACGGTCGTGGCCGTACCCATCTCATCCATCTTGTAGGGGCCAGCCCACGTAGTGTCCAGATGAGAAATGACAAACCCAACAACCTCGCCAACGCCAGCCAGCACAATGTTTCTCGGAAGAGACGGGTTAAGACCGTACGACCCCATGACGAGTGATATAAGCGGACAGTAAATGTACGGCAGCCATCCGCGGAAAGTGAAGCTAGCAGACAATGATTTATGAAAGGACGCGGCGGACTCGGCGGCGTAATCGAGGGATCCGAGAATCTGATCCGTCTTGTGTCGTGCGAGAGCGAGGGCTTCGCCGTGTTCTTCGTATCGTGTCGAGATGGAGCTGGCATAGGTTTCAATCAATTTCATTCTCTGTAAAGTATCAGCATTGTACTTTCTTTTCGTAGTTAAACGTAGTTGCAAATGGTTAAGAAAAGAGAGGGAAAGAAGAGTGGCACATGACTGGCTACTGTGGGACTAGGCGACTTACAGCCTCCATGTCTCGCTGGCGACGTCCCATTTCTTCGGTGCGTGATTGGGAGAGTATCTGAATGCCTCTGGTTAGTTTGATGCATACCAACATGGTTTTATGGAGATAGAAATATCACCATTTCGTCTTGTAGAGAAGCCGAAGAAGCAGCCGCTGAAGCTAGCATGACCATGATACTCTGGGCCTCGTAGCTTGCTCGTGTGACGACATCCCCAACCGCAGTTTCATAAGTCGTAGACAGCTGACCTGCTTTTTGCTGCAAGTGTTGAACCATGGCGTGGAGTATGTGCTGAAGATTCTGGGCCTCGACCGAAGCACGGTCCATGACCTCTTGTGAAAGCTGGCACATAATATTAGTTCTCTGTTGGGGGTAACTCGCAGCTCCTCACGCATCTGAGCCTCGTACCTCGGCCATGTCATGCAGCTTTGAATATTGATCCTCGACGTGTTCAAGTCCCCTTGTCATGGCGTCAAGGTGCGGCTCCAGATCGTATACCTTGGACCTTGTGCGCTCAAAGGCAGTCTCCATGCCATCCGTCTGGTTCTGTATGTGCGTCTCAATCTCGGTTGTGAGTTTCTCGAGGATCTTGGTGACACGCTGGTACAGTCGAATATTCTCGTCTACTTCCAGTAAGCACACGACTCTTTCTTGTGTTCAATTTTTATTTATTTTTCACGGGATACTAATACAAACCTTTCTCGTTGTCAGCTCGCGCCGCATCGCAGAACCGGACTGCCTTGTGTCGGTAGCTGACCCATGTATTCCAGGAAGAGTCAGACTGAGCCAGTCCCTCCAGACACTTGTCAATCTCCTGCGTAGAGACGTGTAGATCCGGCTTGGAACGAGCAGGCATCTTGGACAATGCGGACTCTCGGAATTTGGAGCAGCTGTGTGGGATCCTAAAGGCCCCACGCTCCAAGTCGCAGATGGCAAGACTAGCAGCGTATGCGTCGACAAAGTCCCGTGCGATACGCCTGCTGTCAGTCGAGACGGTGGCTTCATCTTCACCAGCCAAAAGGTGGCAATTATCTACGAGGAGACGAGCTGCAGTCCTATGACACAGAGGCTCTGACTCCAACTCTTGCAACTCGTTCAGAGCAATAGCATAGGCGTTGGAAAGGGTTGGTTGAGTTTCAATGTATCTGGGGCGTTCCAAGAATGCCAGGGAAGGTTCCTTCTTGTCTTGTAGGCACGTTAGTCGTTTGTCTATACTAAATAAGCGTGAAGGGTATCCCATGTACCTTTTAACAGTTCCGAGGCCCACGAAAAAGCACCGACCAAACAAGTAAACATCGAGAAGATGCATAGTGCTGTTGCGGGCCACATTTCCAGACGCGGTCCTCACTCTCGTGGATGTAGGGTAGTAAGTATATCTTCCAAGTCAGCCAGCGATGCGACGATCCGAGACAATATGCAGCAGTAATGGCACCGAGGACTCCGAGACGGATATCTCTTGTCTTTGGTTTGAGCAAGAGATGTCAAGGTATTCATCCCTGGGTGTGGTGTGTGTGCGATGTGAGGTCAGCCTCTCGGCCTGTTAAGAAGATGAGGCGAGAGCGGTGGGGAAGAGATGATATTAAGAATGAAGCATATCGCCAGGATGAGAGAGGATGAGAAAACTAGAATGTGATACGGCCTATGAGTTGAAAGGGAAGGAGGTCTCAGAATGCACCTTCCGCAGCTGCAGCCAGCTAGCGGGAATGAGGGGAAAGAGCCACGACACCACGCTCCTTCCTTTGAAAGGGCATGGATATACAGATAAATGTACAAGATGTTGTCCATTGTCTGTCAGGAGTACAGAAAAACTATACATAATAATACGTTATATTGTATATATTCGTCTCTTTACAAGGCTGAATCATTCACCCTGGCGATGAATGATATTACCCTACAACAAAATGCAATGACGACAACAAAATTCCATATCCCTTATGATTGAAGATAACGGTCATTCTTGTACGTTCAATAGTATGACTAGTAGTAGTGATATGAAGAGAGCGGCCTGTTGGCGGCAAAGAATCGATAGTACACTAAACATTTAGGCTCGCAACTCGTCAAGGTATCATATCAAACGTCGAGTATGAAGCTGAGAACGGGAGAGCAGCTGGTTGTTCGTCCCGGTGTTTTAGTGTTTTGGTGTTTTAGTAATATACCGTGATACGATGTGAGTTGCGATGGAGAAGATGTCATTGCCTACCTGTCTCTTTGTCTCCTCTCATTTTTCCCCGCTTCAACATCCGCCTTTTGGCGATGTTATTTCCATCTCGCCCGACTATCTTCTCTCTCCCATGCTTCCATCACTTCTTCCTCCCTCTGACCGGGGACCACACTCGTCTACTAGGGAGAGAAATTTCCTCCACATCGCAGGTGAGGGGCCGCGCCGTTGAAACTATTAATAATTACCGAATAATGAGAAGGAAAAGCCCCACAGACCACAGGAGAACGGTCCCGCAGCTAATGTTATTATTATTACAGCTCAGGGATCAACAACGAAGCACACGATATTAGATGCCACCGATGCAGCTTTTCCTTTTTGTTTTCCATCTTTTTTTTTTCTTTATTGGTACAAGAACTCCCACCACGACGCAGGTGCCAGGGGCAAGGAACCAGCGTCTGTTCCTCCCTCCTCTAAATCATTACTCTCCTTTACCTTCCTCTTCCGGCTGACGCATTGCCTCACCCTGCTACATCCTCGCCATGTGCACACAAGTGGACAAGGTGTGGGATTGCGGGCACATCGGCTATTTTCGAATCAATCGGTGTGAACTCCTCTTTAGAGGGTGCAAAGGCACAACGGCCAAGCACGAAATGGTCAAGGAGCCCGGGCTATGCAGTGACTGTCAGCGTCGAGAAACCCTTCCCAAGCCGTTTGTGTCGAAATAAGTCTTGTCGACTTTCTGATTTTCCTTTCATAATTGACGAACGTCTTTTTCTGCCCTTGTTTTCGTTATACCATGCCTGGAGGCCATCCATGGTCTCCCGTTACGTTCTATACCAATATCTTTTTTCTTTCTTTCTTGATTCCATCGAGGAACAGGGTCATGACCAAGAGCAACCGTGTGCATTCAGAGGATGGAGGGGAACTCATGCTATAGCCACGCAAGCTTTGTTAGTGTTGACGTTTAGAGAGTGGTTTTTTTTTTGAGGCAGCTGTTGCTATGGCTAGGGGTGGGCCATGGTAGTATTCGTCATTGCATTGCAATATAAGGCGAGACAGAAAAGCACTTTGGAAGCTGGACAGAATGAGACGCCAGGATATGACAATAATACAAGATTCTATCATGTTTGATGCGTGTAGCACGGAATCTATCATGGTCCCCATACATCCAAAGAGGTGAACCTGTCTATAGGGTACATATCTATCATGGCTCCTTGTATATCAAAGGAGGGTAGAAGATGTTCGCGCGTAATGCCACCGATTGTACAGAAACAGACATAATCAGCGCAGGGCCTCAATATCAGAAACCTCCTTGACAGCCTCGGTAGACAAGACAAAGGCAGATTCCTCATCGACGGCAACACTGTCCTCGATGCGGACACCCATGCCGCGGAAGTGCTTGGGCCAGCGCGCATCGTCGGGGACGTAGATGCCCGGCTCGATGGTGACGCAGTGGCCCTTGCGCAGCGTCTCCCGGCGGCTATAGCCAGGGCAGTCGTGCACGTCGAGGCCAATATAGTGGCCCACATGGTGGGGGAAGAGCTGGTTGATGGACGACGTGTCGAGGCTGGTGAAGCCCAGCGGCCGCAGCTCGTCGATGAGCCCTCGAACCGTGATGCGGTGTATGTCGTCCAAGGACATGTTGGCCGACCGGCGGCACAGGGCGACACCCGTACGCTGAACGCGTAGGACGGCCTGGTATAGGTCTCGCTGGGCGGGGGTGAACTTCCCGCTGGCCGGCCACGTGCGCGATATGTCGGTGATGTATGTGCCGTACTCGCCGCCCGCGTCCACGAGGATGAGGTCGTTGGTGTCGGCGTCAATGGTGCTGTTGTTGACCGTGTAGTGGATGCAGTTGGCGCGCTCGCCACCCGCTACGACGGGTATGTAGGCTGGGCCGTCGCACCCGTTGCTGATGAATTGGTAGTCTAGGAAGGCGTGGAGGTCCTTCTCGCGTCTCCAGGGACGGCGCATCGCCTCGGTGATGGCGCGCCCTGACATCTGGCCTGCCAGACGCATGTTGGCAATCTCGGCGGGGCTCTTGATGGCACGCAGCTTGTGCACCACCGACGAGAGGGATGTCCGCGGGGGAGCTGAGCTGCCGCTGACGAGGCGGGATATCGGATTGGTCGGCGTGGCCGTCGTCGTTCGAGCGCTATCCGTGTAGACCAGTTTGGCGGACGAGAGCATCTTGGGCAGCATGGTGTCGACTTGGTCGATGCTGAGCGCCTCGTCGGCGTTGAAGATGTCCTCGGCCGCCTCAACGCCGTTGCGGTATCCCGACCACTGCTCCTCACGGGGGTCCTTGGGCCTGACGAACATGCGAAAGGCGTAGTCGCCCAGGTTGGGACCCGTGCGCTCAATCACGGCCACGGCATCTTCCTCGTTCCACCCCGTCAGCCAGAGAAAGTTGGACTCTTGGCGGTACGGGTGGAAGACGGCGCCAGACTTGTACTGCAGAGATGCGGCATGGAGGATAGCTACGCCTCCGTCGGTCAGCGAGTGGGCGAGGGCGGCTCGTCGGTCGGCATACTCCTGGGCTGTGATGCCAGGCGTTACTGGGGATGGGTCAACTTGAGGCGTGCCAAGAGGGTTGACGAGCAAGGCAAGAGGACAACGAGTGTGGAGGGAGACATACTCTCGCCAGCCTGGAGGATATGAGGGTGTGTTTCGTGGACGGGCTGGCCGAATTGGAGATCGGCGGCCGAGACGTAGGTGGTAGTAGCATAGGAGCGCCTAGTCGAGGTCCATGACACGCGGCTGGGAGAAGCGACGATTCTCGACGACGGACAGCAAGTGCTAACCCGCTGTATACGGCTGCGTGACGACGGAGATAGCCGTTGTAACAATGCTACGTTCCGGAATGGTGGCACGGGCGACTTCATCTTTTGACTCTTGAAGCGTCAAGGGGGGGGGGGGGGCGTGGACACAATGCAGTTGTCTAGAGGAATTGAGGTGAAGATGAAAGCGTGGACATGATCCGACAAGCGGGCGTCCGAAGGGGGGAGGGGTCGGATGGAAGCGACGGGAGTGATGGGAGCAACAAGGTCGTGGTTGGTGATGGGATGAAAAGGGGAAAAGCTACTGGAAGAGAAGCCTGTTATTCTTCTAGTCAACGCACACAGCACGTGGGCTTCTAAAATTTGAGAAGCGAGCAATCGACTGTCTCTGATGAATGATGATGAGGTCAGTCAGATCCATTGAGTGTATTATCCGATAGAGTGATAACTGTGATATGCGTATAAACGAATGCGAATACTCGACCGGGATTTGGTCAGCGGATATCCATGGGTTACGGATGATGGCGTGACTTCAATGTTACTATTAGAAGCACTGTGCACTGGATAGCATTAGTGAGTTGTCGTGGGACTGATGAGTGGACTGGGCGCTGGGGGGAAAGTAGCAAGACGCTGTATCGTATGCTTGTCATACAAGTACATGTAGGCGAATGCCCCGCAAAGCATCTTCCACGAAAGCCTAGAGCACTGTGGCCTTTTTGTACGGTTGAACCATTGCAGAAGTGCCATGCTGGGAATAATATATATTACACCGTATGTGTAAGCAAGACGCAACGCGTTGCGGGGCCAAGGAGGGGCTGATGCTAATAAATTTGCAACACATCTACAGGGCATCACAGGACGTTACAGGGCATCGGGATCGCCTACAGTGGTCACCCAACATGAGTTACAGCGAGCCACGATGGCCATTCAGCCACAACCACTCCTCAGCCACAAGGGTGGTTGCTGTGCGGCGGCTTGGCCCGTGCATGTTTTTGACAGGGATGAATCCCCACACGCCTGTAATGGCCTAGCTCGTCCAAATCAGGTTTAGTGCTGTTGTGGCAAGCGCGAACCCCGACTGTAGCAAGAGCAGAGCAGCTTTTTGCTTGTTTCCTTCTCTTCACGGCCATTCTTTTCCCTCGCCCGACTATCCGTCAACGGCGACAATAACATCTCTTGAATCTCCAACTCCATCTCGTCCGCCCTTTGACTCTCTCTACTCCTCAAAATCCGGCCCAATGTCTTCCTGATCTCCCCCTCCCTCTATTCTTCATCCCCATCACCAACCGTGGTACTTCGTGTTCTTGACGTGTCGCCCTCCACGTCGCGTGCACACGCACATAACCCCAACCCCCTCTCCACTATCATCTACCATCAAATACCACGACCACACCACGCAAATTTACCAGCGGAGGAACAAACGAAACAGCCATTACCCGTTCTCCACGCGTCTTCTGGGCTGGATTATATCTTTCCATCCTTCCCTCCAGAACGTGCTGGATGACCTGACGGGTCTATGGCAGCCGTATCACTATCTCCAACACCGGCTCCACTAGCTGCCATGTCGTCGAGACGCGGACCTCTCACTAACAACCCCAATGTTGCCAACTCGCCCATGAGGGGACTGTCCTCGGCCCTACAGTCTAAGCAGAAGCCTTCTCAGGCCAGCATTCAGAGGGAGGAGAGCTATGGACAGCCCCCCAGCAAGAAGCAGGCCCTCGAGTCCACCGTGTCTCGCCCTTCCGGTCCTCGATCCCCTTCGAAGATTCCTCGAACCCAGACTCTCGCCCAGCGTGGTGTGTCTACGACAGCCTCCTCGACAACGCGTACGGCAGCTGTTAGGGATAGAGCCTCGAGATCTGCTGCTGCAGGCACCACTTCCAGGCAATCCACCCAGCAGGAGGATAGTCACAAGGAAGCATGGAAAAAACATTACAGGGCCAAGTTCCCCACCATGGTCTTTTACTTCGAGAGCATACCCGACGACATCCGGGCCAAGCTCACCAAGCGTGTATCATATCTCGGAGCTGTATGTCTTGGCCATAACGCGCTCGGAACCCGTTTCTTTACTACCTTTGTTCGTATGCTTACCCTCTGCAGCGCCAAGAACCCTTCTTCTCCATAGATGTTACCCATGTCATCACCGCCAGGAGCATCCCGACCGACCGCGCCGAGCCCGAGACTGAGCCCGAGAACGAGGAGCCCGAAGCCGAAGAGCAGCCCCAGACCATCAACCCTTCTCTTCTCGACAGGAACACTGCCGCCAGACGCAAACTTCTGTTCGAATTCCGCGCACCTTCACGGCCGCAGAACACCAACGATCCTGCCAAACCCAGCAAGCTCCCGAGGAACAACGATGTTCTCTTCAAGGCCCGCGATATGGGCAAGAAGATCTGGCCCCTCGACAAGTTCCAGACCATGGTGTCGGTCCTTCTCGAGACCGAGACCCAGACAGGCACCACAAGCTCCAGGGCCGCTTCTCGTACCCAGGGCCTGCTTAGGGCTGGCCAGGAAAAGAGCCTGCACCAACTCCTCCAGCATGAGCGTATCAACGGCCCCACGGACCGTGATGCGAGCGCCGCCAGCCGCGACCTGACCTATTTCAAGGGTCCCCACGTCTACGTGTTCGATATGGATGAGAGGCACAAGCCCATGATGGTTCGCGAATACGCCAGGGTTGCCAATAAGGCTGACGGTGACTGGCCCCAGTTTCGAAGTGTTGGCAATGGTCGTTGCCCCTTTGTCGAGGAGGACCCCCAGGATAGGGAGTACCGGAAGCAGAGGGAGCAGCGGGAACTGCGTCACCAGCGTGAGCAGGAAAAGGCACGCCTTGCTGCGGCGGCTGCTGCCACCGCCGCCAAGAAGGATTCTGTATCTCAAGCTGCCGCTGAACAGGCGAAGCCGGTGACAGGCAAGCGTTCACTGTCCGAGATGGAGGATGGTCACAACCGGACCCGCGTCCCCACGGCTCCGTCGCTGCTCAATCCGGCCAAGGCTGCTCTGTCTAAGCAGACTACCCAGAACGCTTTCACAAGCCGTGCCGAGGGAGGTCGCGTGTTCCACGGCGAGCCCGTCGCGTCCGGACTTCAGCCGTCCAATGTGACATCGGCCATCCGGTCTCAGATGATTTCGTCCCAGGCTGGCGTCAGTGCCATCAAGACGGGAACGAGCAAAGAGCTCCACGGCCTTCAGCGCAAGGTTCTCGAGAAGGCGGCCCCGGCATCCCACGAGACGAGTTCTCGCAGGCCTGTCGATCACTCTTGCGAGGGGGCGTCTAACCGGTCGGCAATGAGTCGACCGACATCCCGACCTCCCCATGGCCAGGATGACGGCTCCGTCAGAACTGTTGACAGCAACGACAAGAGGACCCAGAGCCAACCGCTCAAGAGCAAGAAGGACATGAAGCCCGGCTACTGCGAGAACTGCCAGGACAAGTTTCGCGATTTTGACGAGGTATGTCGGCAGAAGAAAGACAAGAGACTCGATAACGGGTTGCTAACATCAGGACAGCACATCGTGTCCCGTAAGCACCGTCGGTTTGCGGAAAACCAAGACAACTGGGCCGAGCTGGATGCGCTACTGGCAGAGCTGAAGCGCATGCCCAAGGACTACTACATGGATGACGAGTACGGCCTATAGAGATAGAGGCCAATGACGGTGGCCCGAGTCTCACGACGACGCAACATCTCCTAGCGACTGAGCGGATCACGAATACTTCCCGATATCCTCCCATGACTAATCCCGACATACTTTTTCTTTGTCCCTTTGCTACCTTTGTCTGCACTTTACCTACCATTTTTCCCTTTGTTTCTTCCTTGGACCAGATACTCTCAAGATACCCACGCGCTTGAAAAGTTGGCAAACAGAGTCTACTGTCCCTTATTCCAAAAGCACAATCCGCCATGGACCTTGGACAGTCTTTTCTCTATCTCTTTCTTTTTTTACATATGTTCATTGCCTTGCATGCGACGGCGTTCCGCAGCATGGAGTACTTTTTTTCCTTTACACATGCGCACATATAAGGCAATTCCCGCATCGTGTCCCCCCCCAAAAAAACATGCATTTTCCTTCATTCGAAGAGGCGTTGTTTTTGTTTCTTGATTTTTTTTCCAACTTTTTATTATTATAATCTCATCAACTTCATTCTTTTCTGGTCGGTTGGGGTGGATAAAATGGCTGACGGAGTAATTGGGACTCGGAGGGAGAGGGATCGGGGACAACGACCATGCATCTAGACGAGGATGAGTCTACAGCATCAGCGATACACATACACATACGCACACACACATACACATACGGGAGACCGGGAAAGAGACTCATGCGCGAATCGAGTCGTAGGATGGGATGAGATGGAATCAAGAGGTTTTATATGATTATTCTTACAATCCTTATATTTGTTTTCTGGTTATGGTACATGTACTGGTTAGTTGTGTATGTGTAGAGTGGTAGTGGTAGTGGTAGGTGAGGCATACTTTGGTCTTGCTTCTGGTCTCTCTCTTCGTGACTGTCCGTCATGGTGTCTCTGAATGAGGTTCTTTCTTGGTCTGGGTCTCTAGTCTTGATTCCGATGACCTTCTCTCACTACAGATTACTAGCAGTACAGATGTGAATACTTGTAATGATATATGTAGTGTCTCGCGTGGGCCACGTCTCACAATCGAGACTGGATTTAGACCGGACCAATCTACGTCATCATCGGCCTTCGCTCACATGGAAAGGTGAGCGATAGCCGATGGAGGGGCTGATATAGCCTATGGAGGAGGGTAGCGAGGGATGGAATGCAACGCAACGCAACGCAACGCAACGCAACGGAACGGAACCCCTCCCATCATTCGCGTACGTGGTGCCAAGTGCCTGAAATATTTTGGACCATTGGGGAGTTGGCTTTTTTCTTCTTCTTTCTTTTTTTGGTATTCCCCTTAAAACTGTGAATACGTCAGTGCTGAACGGGGTTCTCTCACATAGTCTACGTTGATCCTTGTTCGTCCCAGACGGGGATTGTTCCCTCGTCCCCCTTTGATACTCCCCTCTGGTATTCCCCCTTTGATATCCCCCCTATCTGCAAGGCAAAGGCATGGTCTGCTACTGCCACACACGGTACTATTCAAACCTTGAGATTAAGGCTGTTGTACTTCACCGCCCCATGACACGTGGCTTGCTTGAAATCTACTCTTTCCCCTCTCTCCCTTTTCTTTTTCTCCTTGTTCTTCTTTCTTTTCTTTTCTTTTGGGGGGAGGGGGTACATTTCTCCTCCTCCCCCTCCTCTTCTTCTTCCTTCTTCTCGTATCCTTACATCTACAACTAGACGGACATATAGATGAGGAATGAGATTTTTGCCGGGAGGGGGTAAGAGAAAAAGAAAGATAGAAAGGAGGACTGGAAGGACCAGAGAAGAAGACGAGGAAGATTTGAAACAAAGAAAGTCAGGATGCCTGCAAACGAGCATACTGAATCTACCATCCATCTATGGAAGGAGCTACGACGTCTACGCAAGGCACACTCTCAGAATGTCATTCTCGACGGGTCCAACCTCGACATAGCATCTCTCGTGGCTGTGGCCCGTCACGCCGTCCACGCATCCATCAGCGACTCCCCGTACCTCGCAGCCCGTCTTGCACGCAGCGTCGAGTCCCTGGGGACGTATATGGCCGGGGGCAACGTGGTGTACGGCGTCAACACGGGGTTCGGGGGCAGCGCCGATGCCCGCACTGACGACCTTCTCGATCTGCAGATTGGACTGCTCCAGCACACGCAGAGTGCCATAGTCACGCGATGGGACAAGGACCCGGCCGCCAATTCTGACAGGGAACCCCCGCACGTCATGGCCCCCGAGTGGGTGAGGGGTGCCATGATCGCGAGGGTGAACCAGAACCTCAGAGGCCACAGCGCCGTCAGGCTCGAGGTGCTGCAGGCCTTGATCGCCATGGTGGAAGGCGGCGTGGTGCCCCTTGTGCCGCTGCGGGGGACCATCTCCGCCTCGGGCGATCTCATGCCCATGTCGTATATTGCCGGTGCGCTCGCGGGAAACCCAGACGTGTACGTGCAGATGGGCAACGGGAGGGACATGAGGGTGTTGAGTGCGCCCGACGCCCTGCGCGAGGTTGGCCTGGCGCCAACAGGCCTGGGCCCCAAGGAAGGCCTGGGGCTCATCAACGGGACGGCCCCGTCTGTGTCGCTGGCTAGTCTGGTGCTGTACGATGCACAGCAGCTGGCATATCTGTCGCAGCTGTGCACGGCCTTTGCCGCAGAGGCCATGGGTGGCAACGTCGAGTGGGCGTCGCCATTCATCCACCAGATACGTCCGCACCCGGGCCAGGTCGAGGCCGCCGGTAACATTCACCGTGCGCTGAAGGGGTCGACCTTTGTCGTCGGGTTCGACACCGAGTCGCGCCGTCGCACCGGAGGCGGGCTCTGGCAGGACCGCTACTCGACGCGCACTGCGCCCCAGTGGATCGGTCCGTACCTCGAGGATCTGGTCCTCGCCCAGCGTCAGTTGGAGGTAGAGCTCAACTCGACGTCGGACAACCCTCTCGTCGACGTCGAGGCCGGAGAGGTCTTCTCGGGCGGCAACTTCCAGGCCGTGGCTGTCACGTCGGCCATGGACAAGGCACGCCTGGCCCTGCAGATGATTGGCCGCATGCTCTTCAGCCAGGTCAGCGAGATAATCAGCCCGTCCACCAACAATGGGCTCGAGGCCAACCTTAATGCCAGTGACCGTGAGAATTTCACCATGAAGGGCATAGACGTCAATATGTCCGCCTACATGTCAGAGTTAGCCGCCCTTGCCCACCCCGTCTCCTCGCACGTCATGTCTGCCGAGATGCACAACCAGGGTATCAACTCACTTGCTCTGGTGTCAGCCCGTCGCACAATGGAGGCTGTGGATCTGGTGCGTCACATGGCTGCCTGCCACATCTACGTCTCGTGCCAGGCTGTCGATCTGCGTGCTTCGCAGGACCTGTTCTTCGCCAAGCTGCGTGACAAGCTCCCTCTAGCTACCTTTGACGGGCTGGCGTTGTCGGAAGCGGAGATGACCACTGTCGCCGAGAAGATCTTGCCCATCGTCGAGTCCACCTGGCGCCACTGGAATGCCGGATCGTGGAGGGACCGCATCGTCCCCGTCGTCGAGGCTGTCATGGCCCCCGCGACGGCGTTCCTCGCAGAGTCCAAACCCACCACCACGGCGGCGCAGCTTGCGGCGCTGCGCACAAACTTTGAAACCTCGCTCACGAGATCCGCGGAGTCGGTCTTCTATCCCAACACGGCCGTCACACCCGCCAGCGTGGCCACTCGCCTGGGCGATGGGACAGCCCCCCTGTACGCCTGGGTGCGCTCCAAGCTCAGCGTGCCCACGCACCGTGGTCTCGATGACGATCCGCTGTACAATGCGCGCCACGGAAAGTCTGTGGATGATAAGAGGACCATCGGAAGCTGGGTGGCAATAGTGTACGAGAGTCTCAGGGGGGACATGATGGATGCTGTCATGGGGGAGGCGGCGGAGGGGTTGCGTCCGGCAGCTAGGGACGTGGGAGAGTATGAGAAATGGGTTGGGAAGATGGGAGCTTCTTAGGAGATAGATGGGTTCAGATGAGTGAGTGATAGACAGTCTATGAATGTTAGATTTTACTATCATCAGTAAACAGAACATCAGAACATACGAGCGGAGCCGCGAACATGTACGAGTACTCGTATCGAATAAAATGTTGTGCTGCACCATATGCTTCATATGACTGTGACAAGAACGGAAAGCTGTGGAGTCGTTCCTTCCTACAGGAAACTCCCGGCGTGGCACGCCGTGTATTAACCGTACCGCACTGTACTACACCTCTCACGAAGTCAGATTGCAACTTGACCTCTATGGACCTCTATGCCTTTTCACCATTTCCCTTTACCATCTACCTTCCATCTGCTTCCTTCTAGTTCCCGCTCAGTGCAAGAAGTCTTCATCTCTTCTAAAGCGGCAGAACTTATTGTCTGGGACTCCAGTATCTTACCCAACCTCACTTGTGTCTACACATATAATACACACACACACCCACACTATGGACTCACCACGCCCGTCCTCCATGGACGAAGATTTGCCCGACGATAGGCCCGACTCCCCCGATCTCCCCTTGACCATGTCCGCCTCAGTCGTGCTGCAGGATCTGCCTCGAGATGCCTCGGCAGCGCTGGCCAAGGCTGGCCTCTTCGCCCAGGACAAGGTGGTGGTACGGTTCAAGCCTGTGGGCGCGGCACCGGGACTGAGCCAGGATGTGTGCAAGATTAGCTCGGTGCGCAGGTTCGAGGAAGTGGTGCGGTATTTGAGGAGGAAGCTCAAGTGCAAGGACACCGACAGCGTGTTTTTATACGTCAATAGTGTGTTTGCTCCGAGTCTGGATGAGGTGGTGGGGAACTTGCACCAGGTGAGCATTTTCCCTTCATCTCTCGTGCGCCCCTTTTTTCTCCTCCACGTCTCCCGTCAGTTTCATCACGGCTGACAGTTTCAAATAGTGCTTCAAAGATGGTCGCGAACAACTCGTGGTTGCCTATTCTATGACTCCTGCCTTCGGCTGAAGATTAGAAGATTGAGAAGATAATTACAAAAAAAGAAGAACACAGTCCACACCCAGGTATCTCCAAAGAATGCCTCACTATATACTCCAGCCATGCTGGATGCCAACGCTTCTATGCCAAAAGAGGAGCAGGAACAAAGAAGAAGGAGAAGAAGAAGAAGAACGCCATCAAATATCCTTTATGGCTTCAGCAAAGGCATCGACCTCTTCCTTGCGGGTCGAATACGTGTGCTCCTCAGCCGGGAACGAGCGGCTCTTTACGTCATCCCGGTAAGCCTCGATAGCACGCTGAGCTTCGCCCCAGACGTTGCCGTACTTCTTGACAAACTTGGGGGTGAAGCGATCCTCTGGGTAGTTACCCGTCGCGTCAACCTGGACGATGATCTGGCCGGCGCACCCGGCACCGGCGCCGATGCCAACGGTGGGCACCCTCAACTTTTCGGTGATGAGAGCCGCCATCTCTGCTGGGACGGCCTCGAGCACCATGGCGAAAGCCCCGGCCTCCTGGATGGCGAGGGCGTCTCTGAGGATACTCATGGCGGACTCGCGGGTTTTTCCCTGAATGCGGAAGCCCCCGAGGGAGTTTGCACGTTGCGGGGTCAGGCCGATGTGGCCGAAGACGGGGATGCCCGCCGTGGTGATGGCACGGATAGTGGGGGCCATCTCACGGCCACCCTCAAGCTTGATGCCGTGGACACGTCCTTCCTTGACTAGGCGAATGGCGGAGGTGAGGGCTTGCTGGGGGGAGATCTCGTATGAGCCCATGGTGAGGTCGCCAATCTATACGAGGTTAGCCAAAGGATACAAGAGTGGAAAGGAAGAGTGAGAAGGGAGGCGGAGGGAGAGGATGCTACGTACGATAAAGGCAGACTTGGCGGCACGGGAAACAGAACGACAGTGCATAATCATTTCTTCGAGAACAATCTCACTGGTGTCATCCATTCCCATGGACACCATGGCGAGGCTGTCACCCACAAGGATGATGTCGATGCCGGCACGGTCGGCGACGAGAGCAGAAGGAAAGTCGTGAGCTGTCATGCCGACAATGGGCACTCCCTTGCGGCGGAGACCGTGCAAGTGACTGATAGTCACCTTTTTGGGGGCGTCGGCGTCGGTGGGCCGAGGACCGGACATGGAGGCGTGGCAGGAGAAGCGGGTCTGGTCCAGGCGAGAGGGATAGGGATGATGCGAAAAGAGTGGCAGTGATGTGATTGACGATGAGGATGATGTCGAGAGGGGAGGCCATGATGCAGAGATGGTGGGCAGGGAGCTTGGACGCGTGACTGTCCTACGTAGCATAGAGCAACACGACCACTTTGCCGTACCTGAGAAGGACATGATGGGTGGCAAGGATTCCTCCTTTTATGAGGGGGAGAGGAGGGGTGGGAGGATGCAAGAATGAAAGAGAAAAGATTTGAAGAAAAAAGGAAAAAAAAATCTTGAGATATATATTCACATTACATTGGAAGGAGGGATTTCCATGATTCAAAATGTAGAGAAGGAGAAATGAGAAATTGAATCTAGTGAGCAGGCTGGGGCTCTTTTAATAATGACGCTCGTCATGATGGTTTTTACGTTGTAGATCTGAGTACCTACCTTTCATCCTGTGCTGTCTCCCTTTTTTTTTTTTTTTTTTTTCCTCCTTTGCTCTTGACGGTGGTGCTAGTATTACCGGAGGTCCGGCGAATATGCGAGGGGTACGTACCGATTGTCGGTGTTGGGAGCCACCATTACACTATTACGGCTTCAGACTTACGGTGACAATGATTGTTTGTCTTTTGTTTTTATTCTTATCCTGCCGTCCTCTGTTTACATGATGAGCTGATACTTGGTCGTATCTTGTCAGTCAACCTGAGATATCGTGTTGGAGTGTATGATCGCCATTTTGCCTGACGTGATGCTTGTACATGGCTGTGCCGTCTGTCTACATGTAATAACACTCCGTAGTCCAGGGCCTGGCATTGTTGAGCTCAATACCTTGAAAAAAATCCGAAGATGAAGAGTAATAAAAACATCTGTAGACTGGCGTGGCCAATCCGAGAACAATTTTGATACCAAGTAGTAGTAGTAGTGCAACCGTCGATTTGTGTTTCTAGCAGTCATTTGAGATGCTGGTCACGTCTCTTACCTCTCGAGAGAGGTCGGAGCGTGTCGATGGCAGCGACTTGGGATGGTACATAGTACCAGCGAGGCGTCTTGACGCATGGCCGAGAAGTCAATGTCCCTGGCTGCCGGAGTGATCATGGTACCGGAGATAGCAGCCGTGAAATCGTTGGCATCGTAATCTGTACGGAGTGGTAGCAGTGCATGTCATGTCAGGGATAGCTCCTCGGGCTCGGCTGTGCCTCTTGATACGTATTATACCGAGGTAACGGGTCACGATGGTATGGAGCCTGCCATTCTGTTTGTATAAGCTCGTCGCACCTCCCGAAATAGGAAATGCCTCCTCATTGGTCCGCTGTCGGCCAAGTGATTCCGTCTCTCTCCTCGGTCGGCGCTCTTCGGCGCTCTTCAGCGCTCTTCAGCGCTCTTCAGCGCTCTTCGGTGACAATGAATCAACTAGTTCAGCCTGACGGGTGAGTGAGTGGATGAAGGAGGGGGGGGCATCTTACTCATCATGCACCGAATGGATTATCTGTCTTATCTCTCTTCACCCAATCTTATCTCTCATCCATCTCACCCCTCAGCGGTCACCCCTCAGCACGGTCACCCCTCAGTGGGTTCTAGGTAGTCTTATTAACGCCTGACTGACGTGACTCTACGGATACACGCTCTGGCTGTTCGTTGGCAACCCAAATCTTCTCTAGTCGGACCTGACGATCCCGCTTCCTCTTTTCTTTTTTCTTCCCTTTTTCTTCTTCCCCTCTTGCTCTCATCTCTTCAGCTCCCTTGACTACCTCACCACTGCTAGCATTATCCTGCCCTTCTTCTTTTCTTCCTCTTTCTTTTGGTACTAAACCACTCTGTCGTCATTCCCTACCTCTACAACCTAGACGGACAACCGACAAGGTTGTGGTGACGTCGTTACCCTCTCCCCGCCGCTCATCACCACTTTGATCCTGCTTTGCCCAGCATGAGCAGCCCACGACGCCGCATAGAGACTGATGTGAGTTGATTCCCTTCTTTAGACCCTTGTCGCCCCCAATAATTGTTTCTGCATGTTGCTGACACTTTCCCTTTCTTCTCTAGGTCATGAAGTACGCTCGCACCTCTCTGCCTTGACCGCCGACGATATCCCCCCCCCTCCACACTCCCCGCTATCGCGTGACTACCAAGCTGACCGGCACGACAGGCTGTACGACCATACCTGCGACACTACTCCTCTCCGAGATATAGTGTGGGTGAATCGCTAATGATAGGATGTAGCCTTATGAGCGACTTTGAGGTGACTCTGGTCAATGACAACAGTAAGTATGCCCGGCATCTCTCTCTCCACCTTACGCCTTTTCCCCTGTGCTCCCACTGACTCGTATGTTATAGTGTGAGGCTCCATCTGACGACGACTAAGCTACCGATGCCGACGCGTTCCTGCTGACACCCATTCTAGGTCTGAATTTTACGTTCGGTTCAAGGGTCCCACAGAGAGTTAGTCCGAACCGAGAAGAAGAACAAGATTCACGGTAGTGGCTGGAAAGCTAACTGATAGAAGCTCCCTTTGAAGGTGGTCTGTGGAAGGTCCATGTCGAACTACCAGACTCATACCCGTACAAGTCGCCGAGTATCGGATTTGTTAACCGCATCTTCCACCCAAACATCGACGAGCTGTGAGTTCTAGCTCTGATTCGGCCTACCATGACCCTCCCGTCGAGACACCAGGGGTGTGCGATTCAGCAGACTGACAGGATACATCTTAGTTCCGGCTCCGTCTGCCTCGACGTCATCAACCAGACTTGGTCGCCCATGTACGACATGATCAACATATTTGAAGTCTTTCTGCCCCAGCTGCTGCGATACCCCAATCCCACCGACCCTCTCAATGGCGAGGCTGCAGCCCTGCTCATAAGGGAGCCCAAGAACTACGACATAAAGGTCAAGGGTGCGTGCATACACATCGTCTCTCTCAACGTACCATGGGCATTAGCTGACTGGGAGCGTCCGCAGAATACGTCCAAAAGTACGCCAATAAGGATGCTGCCGACGACGCTGGTGCCGAAAGCGAAGATGACGACGACCTCTCATCGGTGGCTAGCTTTGACGAGGACGAGGAGCCAGCTGGTCAGATGGACGACGTATAAGCTAGTGATTTGATCCCTGGTTTCATTTTCACGCCTCACCTGGGAGAAGGGCTACTTTGACATTTCCGTTTGCTTTCTCATCCCTCCCTACTCCTTTTGTTATTTACTCTATCTTCTCGTATATCTTCAACGGCGTCATTGGGAAAGGGTTGACCCTGGCACAGGAGCCGTCCACTACTCTGCATTTGTTCATTTCTTCTGCTTTCATATCCACAACACAAGCACCATATCGCATCTTTTTTGGAACAAATTCGGCACCTCTATAGCATTTTCCCACTCTGTGCCCGTGTCACTAGGCCGGGCATGGGATCGGATGCGAGGCATTACTACTAGTATAGCCAGCCATACATTGCAGACAGCCAGCTTGGAGTGCCTGCGGTCATTTGTGCCCTCTCACTAGGGGCCCATATTTTCTTTTATATATAAGAAAGATGATTGAATTTTGTTAAGGGGATATTCTCCCAGTGTGCGCCATCTATGCAGTATAAAGGAAGGGGGTATCGATGTATGTACAGATATAACCAGTAGGCAGGACCCAGTGAAAGCAGGCCTGGGAAAGAAGGATCACTCAAGAAGGAAGAACAAGAAAGAAGAACGCCAGTCCCAAGTGGTAATGCATGCAGAAAGGAGGGGGTACGAGATGCCATCAGTCCGAGTCGTAAGCCACAAGTCTTGTACCGAGACCGCCCGTACTGGATGGCACCTCGGCCGGCGGAGGAGACGACTGACTCGCCCTACGCTTGCGCTTGACACCGGCCAGTCGAGCACGCATCTTGTCTTTGCTCGCGGATGCCGACCCGAGGAAGGGATCGCGCGTGATCCTCGTGTTGCCCATGACCTGATGAGCGAAGCCGGACCTCGTAGCCTTGGCGGCAGCGTCATCTTTCGTATCCTTCGGCAAGTCCTTCTCCTTCTTCTCGACAGTCACCGGGGTCTTGGTAGGAGCAGAGGCGGAGGCAGGAGGGAAAAGCGGTTTCGCCATGGCGGAAGAAGACGTCGGCAACAGTGGTTGGGGGGTGAAGTCGACGAGAGCGGCGCGCCTGACATCGTCCTGGCTGGCGGGGAGCATAACGTCTGGGTCCAGGCCGATGCGGTCGCACAGCTCGTCGACGTAGTCTGCGTCGCGCTGGCGGGCGCGCCTGCCCTGGCGGAAGCCGCGGCGCAGCATGGCGTTGACAGCGTACGGGTCCCTCCCCTGTCTGTCCGACGCGACGAGCAGGTCGTCTATGCGGCGGGAGGCGGCGACGAGGCGCTCCCTGTCGTCTATGGTGCGCTCCAGCTTGGCGAATGCGTTCTGCCTCAACCTCTCCCTCTCGGCATCTGTCGTGATTTCCATAGTGCTTCCACCCCCCTCGCTGCGCTCGCTGCGCCCGTCTCTTCCTCTGGGGCCCGAGGTCGGGACAGGACCGTCGTCGTCCTCGCCGGTGTCGCGCTTCCTGCCCCCCGAGACGACGAGGTACGCCGTGTTGCGCGGATCAGTCCGGATGACAATCTCCCCACCGCAGTCTGCGTGGCGCATGCGAAACTGCCATATCGGCGTGGAGTAGTAGCTCCCCGAGCGCGTCTTGGACGCGTTGAACCGCACGCCCTGCCCTATCACCGTCTCCGGACGGCAGTACCCGCACCACACTGCGAAGGGCATCTCGAACCGCACTGTCTGACCAGCTGGGGTGCCGTCCGGAGCTGCGCGCCGCTTTTGCCGTCGTTTTGCCGCCTTTCCTCCTTCTTCTGCCTCTTCGGGCGGGTGGTACCGCCCCATGTTAAAACCTTGCATATTTGCGGTTTGTTCGGAGAGGAGTCGGTCGTGTGTTCTCTTTTCTTCTGGCTCTTTTTGTTGTCGTGTTGATGGACGGAGAAGAAGAAATGGGGTTGAGAGGTTGTGACGTTGGTGGCATTTTTGACTAAGCTTCTCTCCTCTCAAAAGTAAAAAAAAAAAAAAAGTTGAAAAAGGGTTTTTATTTCAAAAAAGGGAGGGAAAAAAGAAGAAGAAAAAATAAACATCAACTTTGGATTTATTTCTACCATCCCAACTTCGACATAACAATAATACTACATCGCAAATGTGTTACCCCTCGAGTTCTACACTGTAATGCACCGAGTATCAATTACAATAGCAACGCTACAAATTCTATAACACTAATCGAACCCCAGCTCCCCACCGACAACCTCCAGTGCCTCCCTCAGCAGCTTCTCAACCTCCCTGTCCGCCCCGACCCCAAGAGCCTTGACGATGAGCGGGTACAGCCTGAGCAGGTGCTTCCTGTTGTCGCTGTCAACCCCTCCCAGTGCCGGTATGGCGTCGCTCTCGCTACGCAGCGCCACGAGCTTCCCCAGGATGCGTAGGAGCTCCCTTCGCTGGCTTAGCGGCTGCGGCATCTTACCCCGAAGAGGCTGGTCGGCAATGTACGACCGTAGCGTCAGGGCACAGCGGAGGATGAAGAAGGGTGCTGCCGTGCACGCTAGACGACGCCAGCTCGGGCCTGCCGCTGGCGTCGATCGTGCAGAGTCGTCGTCCGCGTGCGACACGAGGGAAAAGAGCTCGTCCAGCGCCTCGTAGGCCATGCGCACGCGCCGAGCAGGTGGAACCGCCACCGTGCGCCCCTCGCGAGCCGTGTATAATGCCGATAGGCCACCGCTCCGCATGCTTGAGATGATGGCCTCGTCCGCCGCCGAGGGCTCGTGAATTGTAGACGTCTGGAAAAGGGTCTCGGCGTACGACTTGCGCGCCGACTCATCGATGTTGTCGGCTCCCAGCGCCGGGAGTATGAGCTGCCGGAGCGCCCTGAACGAGTCGATGTCGAATTGCTCGTCTTGGTGGAACACTGCTCCTTCGGTTGGCGCCGCCTCACAGTCCACGTCAAGGATACCGTCGGCAATATCCATGACCGTCGACCACACGCGGTGGCTCGTCTCACGAGACACGGATAGCTTGTCGAGCTGTGGCAGTGTCGGCTTGAGCACTGCCAGGGCCGTCGATGTCGCTACTCTCCAAGGCTTGTCCGACCTGGTCGGAATGGAGAACCCATACTTGAGGGCGATGGGCTTCTTGAGTGCCTCCAACGCTGCCGAGACCGCCCCGCTGTCGTACACGTTCTTCTGGCCGTGGTGCTTCAGGATCAGCTTCTCCAGCATGCGCATGCTCGCCTTGGACAGAGCCACAAATGTGCGCTTCGGGGTCGTCTCGGCTTCAAACGGTAGCAGGATCAGCTCTGACACGCGCTTGATGACCGCCGAGGGCATCCCGTCCACGTCGGTCCGAAGCATCTCAATTGAGTTGAGGACCTGCACCTGCAGCTGTGTCATCTGCTCCGCGTCTGACGAGTAGCTGCTGACCGTCGCCTCCTCGACCGCATCCTGCAGGAGGCCCAGCATCTTGCCGGCCCTCTCCACCGTGATATCCGGCTCGATTAGCTTGTATACCTCACCCAGGGCGTCGACGTAGGCACCGAGGCAGGCTTGATTGTCTTCTGTTGCCGCAACGGCTTCGCCATCACCCGGCACGGGTACCCCGCGGGACCACAGCTCCCAGGCAGGCTCAATCGTCGGCTTGGTCAGGATTGATTTTCCGTCCTGATCCTTTGAGTGCGACAGGATATGCACGAGGGCCTTGAACGTAGCCGTGTTGATCTCCAGAACGCCAAAGTTGAGTAGCGTCTGGAAGTGGTCCAGGAGATCGCGCCACAACTTCTCAAAAGACCCATGCTTCGTAATCACCTCAATGTAGTTGGCCATAAGCCCTGAGATACCGTTGAGAACCACGACTGCGGTTCCGTTCCAGTCGCTCCGATCTCCGTCGTCGGCATCAGCACCCTGTATGGCCTTGAGTTCCTCTTCCAGAGCAGTGAGCAGCTTCAAGACAACCGACTTGATGCACACAGACCACGCCTCGGCGCTGAAACGTTCACCGTAGGCATCAAAGATGCGCAGAAGTGTCTGGATGGCGCTGTTCCGCAGGTCGAGTCGGTCATCCGAGGCCACTGCTGTCAGCCTCAGGAGCAGGAGCATCCACAAAGCAGCGGCTGAGCCCTCCCTGTCGGCATCGGCAGCTCTCTCGGCCAGATCTGACGTCCCCGTGTCCTGCAGTAGCGCTGCCGTTATATCCAGAGAGCCTTCCTTCCCAGACAGGAAATCGGAGAGAACCCAGAAAAAGGTGACGGTCTACGTCCACTTAAAGTCAGCAAGATGTATTTTATGCTCCACACTACACCCCCCGTCGACACATACCGTGAGGGCAATGTTCAGGTCGTCATCTTGCGAGCAAAACTTGTAGAGGGTATCGACGAGAATCAGAAAGCAAGAGTTGGGCAGAGATGCCAGAAAGTCGGAGGCGATGAGCTGTAGAGAATTGAACGACGCCCGGACAAGCTTGGACGAGCGAGTCTCGATGACAGTAGGGTCAGCCCGACGGCCCTCTGTCACAGTATCCTTAGTGAGGAAGACACTGCCGATGATGTCAAAGGCAATCTCCCATCCGCTGATCAGATTCTCGGCGCTCTCCTCGATAATCTCCTTGAGACCGTCCAGGATTATCCTGTGAATCTCCACGCCGGTAGCATGGTCCGCCACTGAGATCTGCCGGCCGTCGTTCTGCAGGGGCCCGAGGGCAGCACGAAGTGCCCCGAGTATACGCAGCTGGATGGGGGCCAACTGGTCGTCTTCGGAGAGGGTCGGGGCCATGTGGGCCGCCTCGAGCGTCAGGCGCGTGAGTATCTCGCCGGCCTTGATGCGGACGGCCGAGCCGCTAGGCATGGAGCCGAGCGTATCGATGAGCTGGTCTGTCAGCATCGCCCAGCCTGACTCATCGGGAGGATACATGAGAAGTCGCTCCATGTTGATGGAGGCAACCTCCCCGAGCTTTGTCAGGGCAAACTGGTCCTCTTGTGTGGAATGCGACGATGGCGGTGCTGCTGAGAAGCTCGAGATACGGCGGTGTTGACCACTCAGCGTCCGTAGTGTCTGTGTATGGGGGCGCTTTTCTGACGTCGGTGACAACTGCTGCTGCTGTTGCTGTTGTTGTTGCTGTTGTTGCTGCTGCTGCTGTTGGCCAGCAGTATCGCTAGTCGCCTTGCGCTCTAACAAGCCACACACTGCTTTTGCGACGTCGAGAAATGAATCGTTGGGGAAGTCGACGGTACTCTCCAAGAGCCTCGAGGCCGCTGTCTCAACGGCACGGACTTCATTTCCAAAGTTGGCCGTGAGAGACGCCGTCTCGCCCTCGGCAACCTGTTGCTCCTGGATGCGAGCAAACGAGCCCGTCTTCGCCGGCGCCTTGGAGCTAGCGTAGAGAACAAAGTCTGCCTGCTGGAGAGTCTCGAGGATAATTCCCCAGGCGGAGCCGAAGGTCGGCCCCAACGCAATACCTAGGTTGAGAAGGGCGCGGAGGCACAGCAGGTTACGCGTGCTGAGGCCCTGCGGCTGCGAGTCGAATGAGGGCTTCTCAGCAAGTGTGCTGAGGTTCTCACTGCTCAAGAGGCCCCTGGCGTTGCTCATCAGGGAAGAAGGCGCCTCTGATGACACGCTCGGGGTACGTGGTCGCGGCTGGCCAGCATTGAGGCAGGCCGTGAAGACATTGGGAGGCACTGCCGCCTTGCCCAGCGTTGTGAGGAAAGCATCGCGGGGAGTCCCCAGCTGCAGAAGCCCGGCTACATGGGCAAACCGTTGGAAGGCCCTGACCAGACCGTGGTAGTATTCTGAGTCCAGGGCGGCGTAGAGAAATGTGGAGCAGGTTGCCAGAATGGCAGGCCAGCACTCATCAACTATGCTAGCACAGATCTTGACTTCGGCGGCCATCGGATGGTTCTCATGATCTAACGGGTTGAGGGGGAGTGGGTTCTTTTTGAAGGATGCCGACCTCTCGCGGGGTTCTTTGGCTGGATTCCCGTCAGCATCGACGCGAGGCGAGATTGGGGGATCACTCTTGACGGTCTTCTTGCGGCTGCGGCTTTCGGCAGACACAGTGAGAGGAAGTATAAACTTTGCCAGGCCATCAGATAGCGATGAGATGCAGGCCAGTATCAGGCTGTACGAGTAGGACTCGGGGATCGGCGGTGGCTCTGTCTTGTCGAGCTGGTCGATGCAGGGCACTCTGACCGAACTCCATTGAGCGCTGATGCCTATGTAGGAGCTCTCGGGCCCTGCAGAGCTGATGATTCCCGTAACACCGCTGGCCTCAAGCATAGCCTGGTCCTGCATAGAAGCCGAGACGCCTTGACTGCCAGCAACGGGCATGGTGGACTGGTGCCCGAGACCGATGACGCTAGGCTTCTCAGTGCTGAGGCGCACAAACGTTGCCGTCAAAGTCTTGAGGATATCCTTCTCACCTTCCCTGGAATCGTACAGGGCGAAGATGCGGCGCACTAGCTGATGCTCGGCAAAGATGCCCCTGAAGACTTCCAGGCAGAGTGCTCTCTTCCAGGGCGCCGAGTCGTGGTCAAGGAGCTGTGTCAGGATATCCAGAGCTTCACCGCACTCAGCAGGGACGACATTGATGTGCCTGCGCAGCATTGTGTACAGGATGCGGACCAATCTCACGCTGGTGGCAAACGAAGATTTCCCCCGAAGGGCGCTCGTGATGAGAGGCATAGCCCTGACGCGCAGAATGTCAACCTGTTCAGGGTGGCTGGAGAAGACGTCCGCATGGTTAGTGATGACAGATTCGATCAGCTCGAGCCCAAACGTCTGGGGCAGGCTGGAGAAGCGGATAAACTCGGGTCGTTGGTTTTCGGTGAGAAGGCATAGATCGTTGAATATCTACAGGCATGTCAGCAGTGCGGAGGGCGCAGCATACGCAAGCTTCAACATACTCTGTATGCATCGAGGGCGGCAGCACGCAGCTCTACCTCTCCCTTTGACGTGGCAGCAACGCCGGCCATGGGCACCTGGGGGCCGCTCTCTTCATACAGGAGTCAGCGATTGGGTCAAGACCGGAAGTCGGGGGAACGGGGTGACACACTGTCCTCGGCGACAACCTTGTCAAAGACAGAGACGACAAGCTGCTGCAGCGTGGCGGCAGAGGTATTGTTGACGATGGCATTCTTGCTAGTCTGGAGTGTGAAGCAGATGTTGAGGGCGGTGACGAGCAGATCGCCCTTCAAATCGGCGGAATAATTCTGCAAGAGTGACGGTAGAGCCTGCAGAATCTTGAGCTGAACATCCAGGCCGGACGACGTGGCCTGCATGAGGGCCTCGAGGACCTGATTGAGCCTGGAGCGCGGCAGGGCGCGAGCGACGATGAGTCGCTGCAGGCAGGCGATGGCGATGGCGGTGAATTTGGCATTCTTTGTGCCGCAGGCAATGATGAATGGGTTCGCAAAGTTGACCTTTTGTGATAGTTCTAGGGCATGCCGTCAGTCTTCATTTTCGTCCAGGATCTAGATGTGCTGCAAAGCATAGTATGAGTACGGTAGAATACATACCCTCAGGGGCGCCCTGCTCAGAAGAGTTTCTCAGACTGCGAAGCTCCTCGAGAGACCTTTCGGCGGCCTGGTAGGGAGAGGGATGTCAGTTATTGTTTCCGTATGAGGGTATGAGTGATGGAGGGTCAATGTGTACCTGGCGCAAATCATTGTGTTTACGCTTGCTCTCTTGGATGAGGTTGGCCAGCTCTGTGGCCAGGAGTTGCGTCGTCATGACGGGCTGCTAAGCAAGGGCTGGCGCGTTCAACAAGGGCCCATTTGGGAAATACTGCCGCCCACGCAGCCGTCTCCTTTCCTCTTTTCCTCGCTCGAGCAGGTGTTGAGATGAAGGGGCGCGAACCTCGCTTGTTGTCGCCGCTGTTGCTCCGTTTTTATATGTTTCCTCCCTCTACATGAGAGAAGCTGTTGCGTCTCATTGTAAACTGTCCCGTTCCTGAAGCCACGCATGGGGGTCCCGCACCTTCCTTGGCGCCACACCTGCACAAGATCACCAGCCACATGCTGCGCCCCATGACTGGGTCCTTTGGCAGAATTGTCGAGTGGCTCACACCGCCCGACGAAGGATTTCTTTTGAGGCTTATAGGATTACTAACTGTCTTTTTTATGTACCAAGGCATGGTGCCAGAGTGGTTAATGGGTGAGACTCGAATATTCCGTACTCCGGAATCTACAGAGGTATCTCATGTCTTCGGACGCGGCGGTTCAAATCCGTCCCATGTCGAACCTTTTGTACTTCTTTTTTTTTCTCGCCCTGTCTCTTTTGCAACTCCTCCCACTTGGAATTGACTGCTCCAATTCACAGAAGTATATTGCTTACCTGCTTTATTTTATATTTTGCTTTTCCTAACTTCAGTCTTTTGTACTCTTGAATCTGTACTAGGCTGACGAGACGCAGGATCACACACGCTCACCATCACAAGACCAGTACGATTTTCTTACCGTTTGCATCGAGTGTATTCTTCTCATCTCCCCTCGTGACCGTAGACTGTCTAGCTGGTTGGACCAGCCAGCAGAGCATTTCCGTGATGAGAACAGCAGCAGTAACGGTGATGTTGCAAATCAAAGACAGTACAACGTATAGCGTAGAGCAACGAGAAAAGACGAAACCCCCTAGACAACAGCTAGAAACTAGACTGATGTAGGTCATCCATCCGGCAACTGTAGTATAACATATATATGTCATCCTCCTCCCATATATAATAGTCGTAGTCAAAAAAAAAAAAAAAAGTCAACTCCATCCAAAAACTCCATCAATGAAAAGGAAAGATCATAAAAAAGAGGGAAGTACGGCTTCAGAGCCGTAAAGCAGGTGACGCCCGGTACGGTGATCCTAGACAGGGGCGTTGGTGAAGAGGTACGAGACGGACTCTCCGTTGTGAGTGCGACGGATGGCCTGTAGACGAAATGTCAGTTTTCCTCTCCTGTCTGCCCAAGGGTTGTTGCATGTGATTGTCGAACTGACCTCCGCCAGAGTGGCCGAAACGTCCATGACCTTGATCTTGGGGCAGAGCTCCGTCTTGTTACCGACTGTGCGACATGTTAGCAGATCTGTGCAGTTCCAAGCTGCCGAGATGGTGATGGAACATACGTGGTACAGCTGCGAGATTTCGAAGCGGTTAGCATCAAGTAATTTCGTCTCTCTGATTCTGGAGGGGAAGCTGTGACTCACTGTTCGTGACGACGAGGCCGGACAGGCACGACGAGTTGATGGTGTCAATGGCCTTACCGCTGAGGATACCGTGGGTGACAATGGCCCAGACCTCGCGAGCGCCGTGCTCGTTAACGGTGGCGGCAGCCTTGGCGAGCTGTAGCCTTCCGGGTCAGCAAAGCATGGTCTTGGAGAGCAGAGACACGGGAGCAAGAAGGGGAGGGAGAGGACGTACAGTGCCAGAGGTGTCAGCCATGTCGTCGACGAGAATGGCCACCTTGTCGACGACGTCTCCGACGAGGACCATGCGGCCTACAACGTTAGGCATGGGACGCTCCTTGTGGATGAGGGCGAAGCCCGTGTTGAGTCGGTCGGCGATGGAGGTGGCACGCTTGGCGCCTCCAGCATCGGGGGAGACGATGACGCAGTTGCTGCTGTCGAGGTTCTCGCGGATCCAGCGGAGAACCGAGGGTTCGGCGTACAGGTTGTCGACGGGGACGTTGAAGAATCCCTGGATCTGGGAGGCGTGGAGGTCCATGGTTATGACGTGATTCTGTTTTCGCTCGGCACTGTCAGCTGCATCTCTCTCCCTCCTTCTCCTTCTACTTCCCTCCCCCTCTCGATCGGCCACGTACACATCCAGACACCTGAAGCATATTCGCGATGAGCTTGGCACTGATAGGAGCACGCGACTTGTCCTTCTTGTCCTGCCTGGCGTAAGGGAAGTTGGGGATGACGGCGGTGATGCGACGGGCCGAGGCTGTTCGGCAGGCATGGATCATGATGAGGAGCTCCATGAGGCCATCGTTGACGTCGCCGGGGGCAGTCGACTGGAGGATGAAGACGTCTTCGTCGCGGACGGATTCCCCGATGGACACGCTCGTCTCCTGGTTGGAATAGTGGAGGCTCAAGGTGTTGGCGACATCGATGCCCAGACTAACGACAGCACACAGGGTCAGTCAGTAACAAGAGTCACATCTCCCCGTCACCCCCCCAAAGCTATATCTGCTGAGTTTGTCTTGATTGTCGAGAACGAAGAGAGAGAAGGACAGGGGAGAAGAGCATACCGGCTAGCGACCTGGGCGCTCAGCTCCGGGTGGGAACTCCCCGACAGGAGTTTGATTTCGTTTGCCATCTGGTCCAACATTGCGAGAAGAAGTGAGGGAGGGGGAGGGGGTTCAGAGATAAGCCGGAAAAAAAAAAAGAAAAAAACCAGGCCCGATCGCGGGGCGGTGGACAGGGGGGTCGGACGAGAGAAGATGGAACTTCCGGTGTGTGTGTGTGGCTCGAATCAAACCGCTGGGTTGCGTGGTTGCTGCTCAAAATCTGGTTGGCTGATGTTCGGTCTGGATTGGAGACTTGGTGGGCTTTAGGATTGACAGAAAGGGCCGGATCTCTCTGCTCGTAAGCAATGGAGAGTTACGATGGGTGGTGGTAGGTGATACTATGATGTTACCATAAGAGGGCTTTTTTTTTTTT